CGTGACTATACAATCTCATTACCACGGATCAGTTCATGCAGAAATCTAAACAAGACAAAGTACATGTAGTTGGTTTAATACATAAGACTCCGGGTATGAATTTCCATTTGCTGAAAATGGTCCAATGTGCTTCGAAAATAAGGCGAATCTGAATCTACAAACTTGCTACATGTAGGTTCCTTTGAAACTGATGAAACTGATAGTGAAAATGACAAAGCTCATTCCCAACATCATGAATGTTTTTAAAGAATTGTAAAACCATGAGTATCACCATCGGTGATATCATTCAATCCCAATCCTATATTTACTTGCATAATAATTGCCGTATTGTACCATATGGAGACATTCCCATAGGGTTGTGCACAAAAGTATTCAAACTTTCATGAGCCCTCACCCCAATTTTTACTTTGTCCTATCCCCACGAAATTTGATAGATTTATGTGTTTGACCACGAGCAATCAATCCAGCATATTTGCCTCTAAATAGGACTTGGAGCCTTAGAGAAACATTCAAAATGTCTCCACAATGTCAAATGTCTCCCTGAGGTATAACTAATGGGGATAACGTGTCTTTCTAAAGGTACAATTAGTAGAAAATTATACTCTTTTGCAGTATATCTGACATAATTGACATGGGGAAGAAAGAACATTTTGTGGCATGTTCTGACAAAAATCAGATACCTCTAGGCAAATGGAGATGTGACTTTAAATCGATGTGGTCATTTTTTGTTTTCAGATTTTTAGATGTTAGAAAATTTGAGATCCAAAATATGTTTCAAAAATTTACTGTAGGAAGATTCAAGCCTTAGTTTTTATTCTTAAGATGATTTTTGGACGTTTTGTAGTTTGTGTATCAGGTCAAAAAATACACAATCCAAAACTGTTAAAAGGCAGTTTCTCTTTTCATCACCTTTCATCGCATACCGGTACTTCAAATCGTCGTAATTTGGCAAAGGCAAGTTCTATTTCTTCAAAAATTAAGTCTGAACAACATGTCTCTTTTGCACATGACGAATCTTTTCACAATACCACAAACCAAAACAATCAACTTACATGGCATTGAAAGTCCATTTCGCTAAAAAGGAATGCTATGCCATGAGTTTCGCTGTGAGTTTATGGAATAACTGAAATCATATATTCTCACGGAATTTCACCGTGTTTTTCCCCCAATAGGGTTTTCGCAGGGTAAATTTCGCCCATCCTGTAATCAGTTATTTAGTATCTTATACTGGAATGTTTAGAAATGAACTGTGGGTACTTAGGTTTATATGTATCAAGATTTCAATTATAGTACTTGTAGTTGTAAATATTAATATAATGTTTGTAGTCTGTTTTACAAATTCACCTTTTCCTTGTTAATTGTACTTTGCTTTACGTTATTATCTTTGATTTGGTAAGGCTATGTATTTTTAGACCTGCACAATGTAATTTCCACACTCAATATTTGCTTGTATACAGCGCGTGTCCCAATAAACATTGTGCATGAAGAAGTCACTGATTTGCTCAAAAGGTGGACAAACTTGGTATAAATTGTATGTTATTTCAAAGCCTATGCTTTTGTTTACAATTGGTGAAAATATAATGAAAATCCATCAATGCAAACCACAGATATCGTTGATTTTGTAAGGCTATATTATTTTCCGTCTGCACAATTAGAATCCTGTAGTAGGGTCATGGAGTCGGAGGACGGGAGGGATGACGTTTGAATCTCCACATCTTTTCAGACAGGCCAGGTTGATGATGTACTTCGAACGCTTGATGGAATGGCGCTCGTGCAACTTGACCTTTGCAGGAGTAAGCTCCCGTAGAGCGAAGTAAGATGAGATTCGAAGGTTTGCATAGTGGAAAGATACTTAGACAAGATAAGTTTGCGGTAGCACCATGTGAAAAAATCTCTTTTGTGAGTATGTGTGGTTCTGAAAAGAACCGGAGGGACTCAACGTTTCGAACAGTATGCTCTGCCCGTCGTCAGGAGAATGATGGATTCCAACGATGATGCGATGTTATAAGGATGGGTGCGGTGAGGCGTGAGAAGGATGCAAACTGGTGAAGCTCGAAACCGGTGAAGCTGAGAAGGATGCAAGTTGACCAAGGGATGCTGGATGATCACTGGAGCGTGTCAGTACACAGTGAGGGGATAAAGGAGAAGGAGCTCAAGGTGTGGGTGACCCATAGGCGAGAACTGAACCTAAGTTGTCCTAGGGTATAGGAGACCCATCGGACTTGGACTTGAGGATGGGGCGCCAGATGTCGCTGATGTAGAAACGATGTCTTGGGGAACAGTGTTATGCTTGATGATCTCGATGGCTTCTCTGATGCGTCGGGGTACCAGCGGTCGATGCTAGTGAGTAGTTCTGCTTGGCTCCAGTTGATCTGGTGGTCCTCGGTGTGGGAGTGTTTGACGATGGAAGATTTCTCGAAGTCTCCCTTCCTGCCATATGGGCTTTGTGTTCATTGAGTCTGGTGGGGAGGTCCCTGCCAGTCTCGCCGATATACACTTTGCCACATTGACATGGAATATTGTACACCCCTGGTCTGCATTCTGGGTCACACCGATTCTTGTGAGAAGTCAGCAGGTTCTGCATCTTCAGAGGGGCTGTGTGGAAGACTCGAATTCCATGCTTTTGGAGGATGCGTTGGATGTGATGAGAAGTGGTGCCTAAGTAGGGGAGGGTGATGGAACTGGGGGCCCTAACTAGTTGGCTTTGGGTACAGAAGACCCTACGGCCGGGAATGGTTCTTGGGTCTTGTGTCTTGACTTGGCTGCCTGGCTGGGCTGGTATCCGTTGCTCTGCAGTGCTGTGGTGATGTGATGCAGTTCTTGAGGTAGGTGCTGGAGGTGGGAGGACTTGATTCTTGGGTGGTGTGTGCAGGTATCTGTACGTGTGGGTGGGTTCTTTGGACAGCCCAAGATCCACAAGAAGGATGTCCCCCTGCGTCACATTGTAGCTTCCAGAGGGGGTCCTACATACAACACAGCCAGGCACCATGCAGCCCCAATGCTCAATTGAATTTCGACAATTTCCGAATTTTCAAGGAGCGTAATGGATGGAGTTTCTTTAGCTATTTGATTGAACTTGAAAAGAACAACTCCAACTACTAACCCCCCCCCAAAAAAAAAAATAAAATAAAGTTATATCAAAAGGTTTCAAACATGCCAAAGAACAGGTCGATACCAAGATGTTGAGATTTTGTCAGTGTCTTGTCGGGGGAAAATGTGAAAACGAGTCAAGGAATATAGCTGTAATTGCTGGAACCCGGGATTGAACCGGAAACCTTCAGAAAGTTCAGTCTGATCCGACGCTCTCCCAACTGAGCTATTCCGGCTGGTGATTTGTTTTCTAAAAGGACCAAGATCTTTAGCACCTGTCATTTTCTTGTTGGCACAAACGAAAGTGGAAACCACCTGATGACCATAGTTCTAATTGCTGGAACACGCAACCTCGTCCCCAGTGTTTACTTTATTTCCAATTCCGTTTCCAATAGTAAGCCCTGGATAAGAAACGTTTTTCCTGTATCCTGCATGATTCGATACTGCAATAAACCTCTGTACTGATGACGCCACAATTTGTTTACGTGTGTGCTTTCCTAGGGTGCTCAGTGGACCGTGGACCCCAACTGGCTTCGTAGGAAAGAGCATGTAAACAAAGTGTGACGTCATCAGTACAGAGGCTTATTGGCTAGTAATGGATTTGTATCGTGTACTTGGCCCGTTATTTCCAACGTGCATTTACGTGTTTTCACGATCATTGTAATTTTAACGTCCGCCACGCCTTTTCAAAAATACTCCTTTTCTTGAACAAAGAGTACCTCTTTAAGAGTGGTCCCCCGGTGTTTTTGTTTTAAATAATTTGTTAAAATCTAGGCCTATTCTAATGTTCGCTGAAGATCATCACCCAAAAATATCTTCGACATCATCACCCAGGTCACCCCCAGTGAGCATATTTCCTGAGGTATATAGTCACCAATATAAAGAAAGAAAAAAGTAGGGGTTTTTTTCGTATGCACGTCATTTTTTGAGAACTCGTTATGAGAAAAACATCTTAATTGTCGAAACGCACGGACCAGTATCCACCGTAGTGCAGTTCGTCAGAATTTTTATGGAACTCAAACTGAATGTCAAAGTTCAACAAAAGGTCCCGCAAAATGAGCCATGAGACGCATGTACATTTGTATGTTGTAGTTGGTGTATTGTTGATGTACCCTAACGTGGCGCGGGCCCCAACGTGGCACACTTTGATTTTTCGCCTGTAGCGCCTACCTAGAGCAAAAGTTTTAACTGAAATTTCACAGAAAGTGAAATTTCATCAAGTTCTAAACACTCCTGTCCATAAATCGCGAGTTTATTTACCCGTAACAAAGTGCAAAGTGAACCCTTTGAAAATGCCCCGAAAAACAAGAACATAATTTTCTGACAAACATCTGGCTTGGTATGTAAGTAGAGATATTAATTATTTATCAGAATATATCAAGTTTACAGAAATTCTTAAATGTTAATTTGGAATTTTCCGAGATTTATTAAAGTGCGTTACGTTAGGGAACACCCCGTCAATTTGTGCCCAATTTCCGGACGCCACCGTTTTTTAATTTCGGATTAAATTTCATGTAACCGAAATTGCTCACAGAGTTAAATAGCAAGCATTAAGGTAAAAGTACTAGTATTTTACTGCATGAATTTGAGGTTTGTCAACAAAGAGGTTTGGCAACACTACACGAGGAAAGTCGGGTAAGCTTCGAAGTGCGCTACGTTAGGGAACACGACTATACTGGCTTTTGGTCGGTGTGTTTAGATATATGTCTGTGGTCGGTCAAGGCTTACTGATGGAGATCAATGGTACTGACCGGTGAAAATTAATAGCGCCCTCTAGCTGAACAAAATATCCACCTTAAAAATGAAATAGCGCCCTCTAACAAGACACTGTACTTGTCTACGGCTAAGGCTATTCACTGTAACGCAAAATGGGTTAGATAAAGCCGCAGCCACTAAATACCTTATAATTCCGCCAAACATAACAGGGTGTCTGAAACTGGTACTCGTCTTTTGATCGAATGCGTTCTTTTACACTTGTCCTTTTCAACGGACACCTGTGGATTGACCGCGATGAACTTTTGAGACCTAACAACAAAAAACACATGGGACACCAATCACTCACATAACATAACAATCATGGCGGTGAGCGGAGTGGAAGATCTGTGCAGACGACTCCAGGTAACTTCAATGCGTTTGTAGTAATTGTCATAAAATTAATTGAGCTGGTGTTTGAAAGAAGAATTAAGAATGAAAGGAGGATGTTTTCAAATGAGCTTGCAATTGGAGATATAACAATTTAAATGGCAAAATTCAATGAAAATATTCTGTAATTTTTAGTGTCAAAATATTTATTAATATTAATATAATATTATTTTAACACCTCTAAATTTTCCGACAAAATTCCAAACTTATCAAACTTTTTAATATCACAGGAATCCTTATAAAATAAACAATAGTTTGATTTTTGAATCAGCTTTTTATCTCTCATTACAAAAAGTTATGATTTGTTTTCCCTTAACATGCTTAACACCGCACGATTGTCCTAAATGTCCGAGCCATGTCTGGGCCTACACCGCTATGCGACCACACAGCCCGCCGTAACACACGGGTTAATACATGTAACAACTTTCCATTCACGCTACACACAATGTGGCAACACGGAACATGCACGCGTACGCATTATCGCCGTTGCCGTGTGCCAGACTAAAAATAGGCATGCCAATACAAACTCCCGTGTCAGCTTTTCTCGGCAGCGTTAAACTGCCATTTTATATGTCATTCTTAACTAAACAATCCATATTTTGCATTTATAATGGTTTGAGGTGGTGAATAAAACTCCTTTCTTGCTAAAATCCATCATTTTCCTGACAACTTAAAAAGAAAATTTACCTGTTTTATGGTGCAAGTTCAACGGAATCTATCAACGGTGTAGCTCCACCCATATGCACCAAATAAGGTATCAATGGATAGTGGGTTTCATAATCTGCACAATAGGGTCTTTTAAAGGTCATAAAGGAGCAAGGCCATATAAGTCACTTTTATGATGTCCTAGCAGTACGTCATAAAGCTCCCTGTGGCAGCCCACAAAAACAACGTCCGAAGACTTCGGCGAAGTATGTCGAACGGAAAAAAAAAATTCACAATGTTCAACTAAGCATCTGGTACCATATTAACCATCATTTGAAAAAAACATCCTCCATATCTTCAGAAAGCATTTTAAAGTCGAATTTGAGCAACGACACTATTTTGAATAACGCGAAATATTCAGCCCTTTTTCATGCACTTTCAGATACATTCATTGTGTTTACATTTTACGCTGAACTCACTATTGACAGGACGAGACCGAGACTGAGACAGACCGCAAAACTCTCGAGACCTGCAACACTGGTGTAGATGTCCATCATGATCATGCCCCTCTTTACCACAAAACAATCACTGGCAATGTTTCAACAGAATAGGGTGTAAAATTCTAAGCTTAATATTTGTTTCTCAGACATTCCAACTGCAGCTTAAAGTAATACTGGAGAGAAACAATGAAGTCCTGGGCCACTTGGAGCAGGTGGAAGCCTCAGTTGCCGGTATGGATGATACCATGGTCAATAGAGGTGTGATCAGAGATAGCCTGCAGATTTGTAGAACCTCCAGCAAACAGGTCAGTGGTTTTACTTCAGCATCTTGGTTTACCATGGACAAATCACCAGCACAAATCATTGCTTATTAACTGAAGCTGATCTCTATTTGAAAGGCAAGGGAAAGATTTCCATATACGAAGTTCACTAATTTTCCTCTGTATTGACTAACAAGCCCCCAGATAGCAATTTCATGTCATCAAAGTCAATTTGAGCAGTGAGAAAATACAAGCATTTTCTTAGAAAACACTTAGAATTGTTCAGTCCAATCTCATAGGGTTTGTACACAGGGTGTTGAGTGAACTTCGTGTATGGAAATCTTTCCAAAGGCAAGCAAATTAAGTGTCAATTGTTGCCATCAAATTTATCTTTTATTCAAGTCGGGCAAATTTTGACATCTTTACCAGAGCAAATTGTGGTAAGACTTAAGTTGCTATTTAGTCAGTCACAAGTCAATCACAAGTCAAATCATGAATCATGTCATAAGTAGCAGGAGTTAACCAAAAAAAGGACTTCATTTGTCACTGATTAGCTTGACTCTTGACTTGAGACTAGGGGTGTGCATTTACGGGTAGTGCGGGATCTAGGTACCCGATTTAAAAAAAACACGGGTTCCCCGGGTACCTGTTAAAGAAACCCAACCCCATTATTCAAAGCCTTGCCATGGACTCCATATATGAACAATCTGTACAGATTAGGGTTAATCATCCTGTATTTTCTCTAAGTGGGATCTCTTGAGGATGCCATTTTGCCAACTTCTGGTTTGAGTAAGCTTGCAACTTACTACCTGAAGGCATTTCTCCAACTTCTAAGCTGGAATCTTTCGTTTGTGGCTTTATTTAGCCAACGTGTCCATAATGTTTGCATAGTCCATAATGTTTGCGTAGTCCATTATGTTTGCATATCATGTGGAGTGCTCTGGGCCAGTGGTTACGATGTTGGACTTGTGTGCCGTGGTACATGGGTTCGGAACCTGACGGGTAATATGGTGCTTGTGTTCTTGGGCAAGACACTTTACTACATTTACCTCTCTCCACCCAGGAGTGTAAATGGGTACCTGTGGTTGTGAAAGTAGAGACCAGATAGACCATTATCATGTTGTAGCCATCTTTCTTTTTTCCCATTCAAATCAACGTAACCAAAGCGAGGCTGGAAGGAAAAATAGGCTGGTTCCTTTTTGCACACCAACAATTATCATTCAGTAGTTTATTGGATACAGGGAACATGCCTGAAATGGTGGCTGCATGATAAAGGTCTATTGTGCTGATCCTAATCTGTTGCAGAAAAAATGGTAATAAATGTAAAGCGCTTTGAGGCCTGTGGTATAAACGGCGCCATATAAGCACCACATTGTTGTTGTTGTGCTACCCCTGTAGACTTAAAATATTATAGGCAGGGGAACTGTAGCAAATAACTTGCTCCTCAATTTGCACATTGTACATGGCAGGTCCAGGAGATCGCTGAGGGTCAATGCGGAAGTCTGGAGGAGCAACTTAAAGAACTAGCCAGGTACTCAGATGATGATAAACACGGTGATATTAACAGGTAAGGAAGAGGCGTGGTCCTAGAGGTTCCCTTCTGGGTCAAGTAGGCATGTTGGGGCTAGGAACTTTTGTGAATCCTCCAAAATCCCTACTAAAGTGCAAAAACCAATAGCCTGGTTTTCTTACTTAAACTAGAAAGGAGCACCAAGCCACATGTAAAGTAATATAGTGGCAGGGCCCCACCTTTTTCAATCCTGCAAAATCTTCCAAATACCGGTACCTCCCTGAAGATTTTGATTGATTTTGGAGGGTATGTAAAGGTTGTTTATGTTAAGTGTTGGGCTTTAGCCCAAACCTATTGTTTTTCTATGAATTCAATATTCTTGTTTTTTTTCTCCAAGACACAATTCTTCTCCGGAACTGTTTGTCAAAATGGAAACATATATGAACTTCATTTTTCAATACATGAATGCACAATCCACTGCAGATGTATTTTTGTGTAATAACGTCATCATGACGTCATCGTGGGTCACGTGACGTCACTTGAAAGTTTAATAAATTTAATCTTTGAAATTCCATATAAAATCAACCGTGAGAGACCGGAACTTGAATTTTGGGGGAATCGACATGATAATACATGCTCTTCCTTTTATCCTGTGCGCGTCGAATCACGTGACCCTTCCTTCCGGTCGAAACCAGAAGTGCCTAATAATTTGAAAGTGGAAAAAGATATGAACTTGCTTTCAACGATGTTGGTGTCTGCTTGGATTAACCTTTCAACAAAATAATTGGTGACGCCATGAAGAGTTGGAGCGCACTCTAGTTTATTATTTATTTATTACGTGTTATTTAACCAGGGTAGCCTCATATCATCAGTTGTCAATGAACTGTTCTCCCTTGGGGCCAGGGATAAAGGTTAATTTTTATGAGGCTTCAAGCCCCATGTTCCTCCATAATGGCTGGCTCTGCCTGCCTGAATATCCTCCTTAGCCTTTCTGTTGAATACAAGGAGGATCTAGACTGAGGGTTAAAAGTAATGAACACCATTTGCAAACATTCCAAATGAAACTGTCAAAATATCATAAACTATCCGAATTGATTGTAAGTAATTAATAGGATCATGCATCCTGTGCAATCGTTGCACCTAGTATGCTGTCATTATATGAGGAAAGAGGAATGACCATCATTTCTTTGCGACGGCTAAGACCAAACCATCACACCTTCACTGGAAACCTATGCTTTGCATCAAGACAAATGAACATCAATTTTAACAATTTGCTCAGAAAGTATATATATATACTAAGGTGAAATTTCGCTAGGTTATTTTTTAAATAATCTGCTTCAGGTGTATTGCCATTCCTTGAATCGTCAAAAACATTGGTGGGGTTTTTTTTGGAAATAGTGTCCATTACCTATAGAGGATATAGATCACCCTCAAATGACAACACTGCCTACTGATTGTCACGTGCATTCAGTATTTTGGAGTAAAATTAATGATGTGCACTGTATTTCGAAGAAAGTTTGTGCCACATGCGCACATACGTGTTCAGAACATTTAGCACAAGGAGCAACAACATTTCAGATAAAAGATCATTGGAGCCAATGACCGATTTCTTCATTTCTCACCTCCCCCCCCCCAAAAAAAATATAAATATCTGCATAGGGTCCCAGATGCCACGTTATCTTCAGTGAAGCAGCAGCTGATGTCCCAGCTGGACTACAACGTAGCCTTGCAGAAGGACAAGGTGGCGCTGGAGGCCCTACTGGCAGAGAAGATGGAGCAGGTCGCCCAGACCAGCAAGATGAATGAGACACTGCAGGGGGACGTGGAAGAGTCACAGGAGAAGATGAGGAACGTCCTCAACAGGCTTGATAGGACAGCACAAGATGGTAGGTAGCTTGAAACACTTGATGGAGTTGAGAACACTTTTTGCTGTTTTTGTTTAGAGCACCTTTTAGGGTTAGGGGACAAACCTGTGTTCACAGGAAAGGAGTGCCCTTCTCTCTTTCGAAGCGATTGGGCCAGACTCGAGTCCATGAAATGCTGCTGTGGGGGGATCGCCACACCTCCTCCACAGTGAGTCTGTTACCTTCCCAGCATTGAATAATGCCAGCACCCATTTAACACCTAGGTTGAGAGGAGTAATTGAGGTAAAGCGCCTTGCTCAAGGGCACAACGCGCATGGCCACGGCGGGGCTCAAACCTACAATCTCATGTTCACTGTGCTCTTCTGTGCCACGCCCCTTAGACAACCCTAAGGAATTTAGTACGTTAGGTTTTCTTTGTCTCAAATTCTGCACATTCAGAGTTCATTTGTACATCATGTAATTGGACAATAGTTTCGTGTTGACGCAATTCTACTGTGATAGGGTAATAGTGTCTAAGATCATAGACTCTAATTACTCAGACCTCCATTACTCAGATTCTGTCCAGCCCCCCCCCCCCCCCCCTCCTTTTGATATTGAGACGGCCATGCAGCTGCCTGGAAAAATCCTGGCTACCTTCCAGCTTTTCCCCATTTTTTTGCACCACCAATGGACACGAAACATTGAACAAGCTCAGTGGAATGATGTGTGCTGTAAACTAATAGCCTTAAATCAGTTCATTTCATGAAATTATAGCAATTGTAAATACACATTTTATCCATTATCTTTAACTTGGCTCTCAGCTGAAGACAGATTGGATTGTCTGGAGAAAGAAACCAAGAAAGCCCAGAAGACATCTGAGGAGTACCAGAGATTGTACGAGGCGGAGAAGCAGAGAAGAGAGAACACAAACCCATCCCAGAGGAGGTAACTTGATTCTAATTCGGGCGATTCACAATTCAGTGCGCCACCAAGAGCTTGCCATGGAGAGTCCATTTTTTAAGTTTACGGTCGACAAAACATGGTCCATTTGAATGAGTGTCAGTAGACAACTTGAGCTAATATGTTATAGATTGAAGTATAGCGTTCTGCCGCCTTACAGAAAACACCATATTGATAAGAAGAAAAGAAAAGGGCAAACAGATCCTCGAATCATACGCTTATGAAACTACTGACTGGAAAAAAAAAAAAACAATTTCAAATGTCCCGCGCTGCAAATTTGTCGACCATCTCCCACAATGCACTGGGAAAAATTAACTCTCCATGGCAAACTCTTGGTGGCGCACTGCATTGTGAATCGCCCGAATTGCTTTTGTTTCATTTTTATAGTTTTTCAGCTATAGCTGTAGTTCTGGCTTTTTCATGTTTTGAAAGAAACTGAATCAGGCATTTAATCCCTCCACAGGGTCCCTTCTCATTTGATCCCTTCACAAAATAAATCATCATACTGCAATCAAGGAAATTTTTTTTAATAAACAACATAAAAACCAAGGACATGCTGTCATTCAGCCAATGGAAAAGTTTGTTATGTGTTGTTTGACAGTCGCTCATGAGCTAACACATACAGGAGAATTGGTTACATGTTAGGTGTTGTCAGCTTGCTAAACTGGTGCCGAGTGCACTCGATCAAACGTAAGTTTTCTGCGTAGACTCATTGCATTCACATTGTATGGCAAAGAGATGATAGTTTACAAGCGATGTGTACTGATGTTCAAGTCGCTGATTTGCCAGTGTGTGCTCATAGTGGACATACATTGTACCTGAAACGTGTGTGGTATTGCGAAGTGGGTATGTAAGGTGTATTGTGATTGTGTCAGATTTTCAGGCCCTGGAGCAAAAAACCCACTGGTGTACCTGATAATTATGGTCAAGCACATTGTGTTGTACGCAGCCTAGAATCTTAATGTCATATTATCAACTTAACATTGTATCTGTTGTAGGCAAGCAGGCAGTCCAACCCACCGAGACCTGACCCCTATGGCAAGACAAACGCGCACGTCATCCACCACACCGTATCTCTTCCAAGCACCCATGACCAGAGTCAAGTCACCAGACCGAGTCAAACCCAAGGACATGGACACCAAGTACTTGGTGAGTCGATGTTGCAATAAGTAGTCAACTGGTGAGTCAACAATGAGGATGGGTACAGAACTCCTAAACTGACAGTCTTTTACATTGGGTTGGCACACCTCCAGAATCAAAGTCAAAAAATAAGTGCGTGCAGTTTACCATATGGTGTTGGAATTTGCCAGGATGGGTATGGTTCCTATTAAATCATGCTACGGAGTTGGGGTTAAAGCTGATATGTGATTCTTTCTCTTGTCTTGTTGAATTCAGTGCCTGGTGGATGAGAACAAGAATCTTCACACCGAGGTGCGGCGGCTTCGAGATGAGAACACTTACCTGATGAGGAGCAGTAAAGACTCCAAGAGAGACGTGGGCATCATCCAGGTAAGCCATCAAAAATCCACCTAAAGGAGTGGTGGCCTTGTGGTGGATTTCAGCGGATTTGGTCCTAAAGCATTATGTGAAGCAGGATCAGTGATGGATTTTGGTGGACTTGGTCCGGTACTCAGTAAAGGACACTAGAGAGTTAGGTTAATTGAACAAAAGGAATTTACGTGAAAGTTACATCAAAAGTACAGCATTTAATACCAGTGTCGTAAAAGCTTTCAAATTCTGTCACAGTTTTCAGTGTTCAACTTGAGTTTTTCTATTTTTCTCCAATCTTTAAGTTTACGATACGTACTTTACAGTCCCACATGTCTTCAAGACATTCGTCAAAAATTGTTTTAAATTTTATCATCTATCACAGCGATATATTGCAACGTGCCAATCGCAGAGGAGTGAGCTACAAATCCGATTGCGACGAGAACAAGAAGAGGTAAATTGGCCCCCCCCCCCCAAAAAAAACCACCTTTTTTAATATTAAATTAGGTATTGTATTATGAATAATATCATTGTCACCACGATGACAATAGTGGAGTGATTACTTATAAGATGCCACTAATACTTGGATATTCAAATAGTATTGAAATATGTGATTGTTTATTTGTAGCACCGTCGGCTGGAAGTGTCTATGAATAAGCAGGCCTCCAACTGGATCGCAGAGAAGAAGATGGTACGAGGAACAGAGACATCAAGCAAGGCAGCAAAGGTATGGAAAGACGAGATGATGCAGTCAGTTATGCCAGCTAGTTGTTTTTTTATGGAAAAAAAGAAGGGTCTTAAAAATTGTCTCACTGTAGAACAAAAAGTTTCGGTTTCATAAGAAATTCCAAACTGCTGGATATTGATTGCCCACTGGAGTGAACTGATGAAGTAAATAAATTGTAAAATTGCCTATCATTTTTGATTTTTGATTTGATTTGATTTGATTTGATTTCTGTGCCTCCTGATACACAGTAGTAAAGCAAAAAAACTAAATTTAAATGAAGTAGACAGTTCAAAAGAAATATGAACTAAAATAATTGAAGGAAAATTCAAATAAATCAACTTAAAATCTGAAAAATAAAGAAGAAAACAGGGAGGCATTTTCTTGAAGCAAAAGCTTGTATAGAAATGCCTTTTGCAAACAATTTATAACACCCCCCCAAATAAACCCATAGAGGTTCACGAAAAATGCACACCAAGACAAAACACGGACTAAGAAGATAACGAGACTGCAGCGAACAAAACAAAACAAAAACACACAACTATACAAATTGTTGAAAACTATAAACATGGTGAGAAAATGGGAGAATTAAAGACCTTAACAAATAGAAAATGAGATCAAAGAAGCTGTGTTGCATAATTTTCTATCTCAAGAGAATCTTTCTCTGTTTCTTGAACAAATGAAGAAAAAAATCATAAAAAGATCACTTTAAAACCTCAAAAAATAATCATTTAGCAATAACAGTACATTTAAATTGTAGTAAATGTCTGGCTTAGGGACATACATGTAATTACTAACAACATTCTCTGGCTGGGTTTGAACCCACACCCAGGAGACTTTCCCACTCCATGTGTTTGAAAATTGTAACCACTCATGCATAAAGCATGTATCATCATGTCAAACATTTTCTTGCGAGTAACCTGAATATTCACAGATCACTCGATCAATGAATATTAGTATAGTATTCTGGCTCATTTGCATACTCAAAACCACTCCCCTTTTCTTTGCAGATACAGTCCGAGTCGGTCTTCGGAGCGCCAAGGAGGCTGAAGCGCCACTCAGTCAAGCTGAATGAGGACAGGCCGCGAGACATACCAGTCCAGTCATGGTGACCAGAAACTTACAGGGTCTCTTCAGTCACTCATCTTATATGGTGTCTAATTTGAGGCAGGGTAAGTCTTTAAAAGAAAATTTGGCATTTACGTTGACCCCACCTACTTGAGATTTTTTATGCCAACATTTTTTAGGCCTCAAACTTTTACCGTCACAATCAGTCCAAAATTAATAATGATGTTTATTTTGGAAATAAAAAATTCTTATCTATGCAAGATATTGTGTGTTATTGGTCAATTTATCAATTAAACAGGTTAATTAAACAGAATACTGTTAAATAAAGGTTCTGTTAAAAGTAATCAAGTAGGTATAAAAGACGAACAGATAAGCATTAACCAAAATGACAAAAATACAGCTATTTTCCTACCCACCTAGTTGGATAATATTTGGGACGTTTCCGTTAACACACAATTTGTTTTCTCGGCTTTAGTTTATTAATTAGCAAATGGACAGACATATTTCTTCATCAGTGCCAGTATCTATTCTTTTTGTACATCACACATATCCGGTGGCATATATTAAAGGTTCTTAATTTTTGAGACGCCTTCCCTATGCTACAATGCTTAAACGCAGCCTTTCAACCAGTGGTTATTGTCCACTCTTAAATAGGCCACAGCATTATTTGCATAGCAACTTTTCATAACCAACCTTGAGTTGGATTGTACAGAAATCAATAACTCATTCACCAGCATTGTATTGAACCCATCGAACAGTATTCAATCCACCTCATGACCTGCATGGTTGTATTTAACTATGCATAGGACTAGAATATCAGGTGTAAATCTACTAGACCAGACTACAGAGCTAGAGTTTTAAAGGGAATGTACATCTTTGGCTTTTGCTGTAATTTTCAGAAATGAACTATTTGAGGGGTTAGTATAATAGATCAAATATTGTTACACTGACATTTTTGAAGTTTGGTGTTCGAAAAGGTTGGAAAAACCAAGAAAAACAAAAATGTTCAAGTAGTCTGGCTCCCTGACTCCACAAAAGATAAAATGAATCAATTTATAGATGATGGAAAATTGTAAGGCAAGGGAACCAGTCTAGGTGGCCTGCACCCGTTCATGAACATGTAACCAATAGCAAACAAAATTTGGACTGAAAGATATGGTAAATAGTTAGGTTTTTCCAACGCTGGTCGGCCGACCACCGTTGGAAATGTTTACAAAAATACCATTTTCTTGAAAATGACTTCACACCAGGTGCCATAATGTTACAAGATGCTTGAGACTGTCATTTACCAACATCCTAGTAAGGTATTTCGTAAAAACTTGGTAGTTTTGTTTTTCGATGTTTGCAAATGTTGTATATTCCCTTTAAGTTTTTTGTTTGAAAAGAAGTATTTTACAAGATCAGTGCCAAAATAAGAAAAAAAATCTGTTAAATAAATTGGAAAGACAAAAATAATTTGAAGATGCACAGTCAAGGATATGATTATTCATTGCTGTGAATAATCATTTGATAACAAAATTGCAATCAAATGATTTGATTTACATCAGCCCGACGCCAAAAAAAAAATCCCATCTTATGAAAATTGCAATCACTGAAGTTAATTAAATCATATTGAGAAACACTGGCTGTGTCAAATGGGACTTTGAAGGGGACAGTTGAACTTGTTAATTATGACTAGTAGTGTGAAAGCCACTAGTCCGTAGAAGACTGCAGATATCTCTGGAACAAATCCAGCAGTATAAGGAGCCCTGGTGTCGTAGTGATCAGTCGCCAAGCCTGAATTTTTGGACAAGATGTAAATTTTTTAATATAGTGTGCTTGATAGCATGTGGCATTATTTAAATTGACTCTCCTTGTAAATTACGCCAACATTTTAATATATTTTTTGGTTATGCTGCAATTTCCTAAATAACAGAAATTGTGACATCACACTCCATTATATCAATTAATCAATCCATGAGTCTTTCATTCCTTTCATGTCCGCTATGATCTAATTGCTGGAGAAATCAGAGATTTCAAATTCCAGTTATCCTTAAAAAAAAATTTCAAACGAATAACGGTTATCTGATTTCACTGGAACTTTCCTTTCAGTTCACAGTGATGAGTGCGGTGCCGTGTGCAATGCCCGGTACGATAATTGGGTAAGGTTTGCAAGATGCATTGACCACTAGGGCCTTTACAAAAACACTCAAGAAATGAGATGGTAAAAAAAAATGGATGAGAACTCTCTCAGTCAAATGAGTAGCCTATTCATGAACCAACAAGATTGCTAGCGATTGAATGTGGTCACATTCAGAGACCATGGAGCAATTTGCGGGATGTTCCAGTTATTTTGTTGAGCTTGAGTCACACAAAAATGGAAGGCTTTATTTTTTTTCCAAATCGAATAGTGGAATTCAAGGAATGATCAATTTGATTGTATTATTCAGTTTGCTAGTTTCGAGTATTATTGGCTTATGCAGTCATTACTAATAAGTTGAATATTCTCAAAGCATACTTCTATTTTTTTTTTTTCATAGTTTATACTTTTGTAATTATATACTTGTTTCATGTCGCAGTTCAAAAGCATGAAAAAGTGTTTACTGGTATGGGGCTTACCCACTGTATTATATTGTTTTGTACCAAAGTTCTGGTGAGCATCAAATCATTAAGTCCTTGCTGGTCATTATCAAGTATTCTCTTGTTTTGTAATTTGCTCGATTCCGGAATTGAAAAACAAAAATAATCATCAAGGTAGTACTTTACCATAAATTAATGTTTTGAAGTACTGAGCTAATTTCAAAACTATAAAATGAAAGTATTGTTATTGCAAATTCTTTAAAATAACATGCTCTGTGAATTATGTTTTATATTGAGAAACTAGTTTTTTTTTAATCCTTGACAAATTTTGAGCACTGAATCAACAATATGAATATTAAATACAATATTGCATATCATGATAGTATTCTGTTTAACATGTCTTATTTAAAAATATATATATATATATATATATATATATTGTATGTATATTTATTCTTCAAAATTGGAAAAAAAAATTCTTGAAATTCTTGAAACTGGAAAAAGAAAACAATAGAGCCAGTTCTAAAAGACAATAATGATTTGGACACGTGTATTTGAAATGGAAGTATGTAGAAGCATGACCACAAGATATTGGGAAAACATACTCTTACGAAAAAATATTCTGAAAAAATAATTTTTTACAGAATAACCTTCCACAATTCTACTGGAGTTCCTCTGAAATATATGTACTTTAATATTTAGACCATGTTATACCTATGTATTATCTTTGCACATTATGCTTAAAATGGTATAATTATATTATAATGTAGTATATATACCAGGGAGTGTCCGTCACAAATTGGCATTCGTGCTTCAAGAGCCCAGAAAGGAATTCACGATCAGATGCTGCCATCTGGATTTTTTACATTACAAATTAGTTTTTCAGCAACATTAAGACGTCATTGATGCTAAACAATTAATCATGAATAGATAGCTTGTCATAATAGATGGCGGATATTGTCTAAGTATTGACTGAAGTGCGTATTACAAGCATTTGTATTGCATTTTGGAAAGTATTCTTGAATTTGATGTGTCTTCATTTTGTCCCTTTAAACAAAATGACTGACTTCCATAGAACCATTTTATAATATGGTAATTAGCAGTTCCAGTATCATTTTTGTACATTAAAGCCCAAATGGACACTGAACAGTATATTTTGTGTATTTAAAAAAAACAGTAGCGATACTTGTTCTGTAGTTATTATGACAAAACATACCATTTGTACCTTAGAGAACGTGCATTGAGACTTCATCTATTCAGCATTATTTTTATATAAAGAATTGTTTGCATTATCTTGAGTGCTATATAACAACAGGGTATTTTCTTATGCGATTTTTTTTATTGTGTAGTACCTTAATGATTTTGTATTAAAAAGATATTTCAATGTGTGCTAAATTCAGTGTTTGAAGGCAAAGTGTTTTTGTGTGTTTTGAGCCTGATCTGATTTGCAAGTCAAAAGAGTCACAAAAGATAATATTTTCTTTTTCAGTAGTTAAAAATTGTCATGAACTACACAGAAACAAAGTAAAGGTACGATTTAGGTGGATTTGTTTCATGTGTACATTAAATTACAGGATTCTACTTGAAAATTGATAAAGGATGTCCAGTTTTCTTGGTAACATCTCCAGTTGATACTGGTTTCATTCTGAGCAAAAAACCGTGGTGTGGTTTTTTAATTGTGACACATTATTGTGGTGTTTGGCCGGTGGTGAGAATAAGGCCTCGACGTTTCAAACAGTATGGAGACACCCCCCCCCCCCCCCCCCCCGCCACGTGTGTGTCTGAATTAGTTTCCTGACGTCATTCTTTGCAAGGATTTCCATAAACTCGCCAGCACCCTTCCCAATTCCACCCTCTAGAAAATTAAAAGCCGTGTTCCCCGTGCTATTGTCCGAATATTTCCTCGACAATTAGATGTTATTTAATTGTTATTTTTCCAGGATTTTTTTCTAGATGGGGGCAAAACACATTTCCCCCTAAAATCCCTTTTTTTTCCCAGCATTTTACCGATTGGTCATTTTTTTCGAGAAGGGCAGGGACATTTGCCCCCCATTCCCCACCCAACCCATTAAATTAACAACAATATGATTTCGCGCCTCTTTCTCTGCCCCACCTTGCCCCCCCCCCCCCCTCGCGACGCCCATGCAAGTGATTCAATGTAAAATAAATTTTTCAGAATTATATGATTTTGAAATATTTCCGAGGTATTGAGTAAAATGTACACAGATTAATATTGGTGTTTTTTTAATCGGGGGTTCAAGGGAAAAGTAGTGGTACTTACTTACTTGACTTTATTTCCATCCAAGATAGGTACAAAACTATGACAAAGTAAACACATTATCGTGGTGTTACTAAGAAATATAATTATAAAGCAGGCGTGGAGGGGACCTGCAAGAGGCAATTCTTGTCGAGTGCGAGTGCGCCTGTAAAACATTTACAAAGAACGAAATGATAAACAAATAAAGACAAGTTAAGACAAACATAAAACGCCGATAAATGGGTGAACTACGCAAATGCTATGTTGATAAAACTATATGAACAACCAACCACAACAATTCTTTAAAATGATTGATAAGCACAAGATCTACAACAATGAATTGATTATCAATAATACATATTTGAAGAGAATGAAAAAGATATTCTTTTTTTATGAGCAAGAGTACTCGTTGAGAATTAACTGTTTACAGACGTTTCAGACGTCCTAGGTCCCCATCTACCACGCCACCGCCAGAACCCCCTGTCAACACTGTAGTTAATCTTTCTTCCTCATCTATATCTGACGCAGAGCACAAACTTCTCTCCAAGGGTCTCAATTTTTGTCCCGCTCCCCGTTCTGTGAACCAGGTTCAGCTCAGCCAAGATCTCACGGAATACTACCGTAGAATCCGTCTGCGTGAGTTTTTTCTGGACAGTGAACCGTGTGAGCCAGAGCCTTTTCGAGTCAAGAGTTCATGGGTACCCCCCAAGAATCGTGTGCCAGCCATAGAGACATACGTTCAAGTTATCAATTCCCAAGTCACTAACCCGGACAACTTCCCCCACAGGACTCATGATAATCTCCCCAGAGAGGAGCGCCTGGCTCTCAACTCCTTGCGCTCTCGCACCGACATCATCATCAAGCCAGCAGATAAAGGTTCAGCTGTGGTCATCATGGATCGTCAGCAGTACATTGATGAGGCCCACCGCCAGCTGGAGAATCGCACTAACTATACCCGCCTTGACTCTGACCCCACAGGCACTTTCTGTCGAGATATACAACAGGTACTTGACGATATGCGATCACGTGACCAGTTGTCCAAGAAAGCTCACAAATTTCTTTCTCCCTGTGATTGTAGGACTGCCAGATTTTACCTTCTACCCAAGATTCACAAGGCTGGCAACCCCGGTAGACCCATCATCTCCGGTAATGGCTCACCCACGGAACGCATCTCCCTGTTCATTGACAGTTTTCTCAAACCCCTTGTCCCACAGATTTCGTCATACATTCACGACACGCCAGACTTCCTACGCAAGCTTGAAGGAATCAAGGACCAGATTCCCAGCACAGCCATCATTGGGACTTTCGACGTCTCATCTCTGTACACCAACATCCCACATGAGGAGGGTGTTCGTGCTTGCTCCTTGGCTCTGGCCAAGGCAGGACACACGACTCCTCCCATCAGTGATGTTGGCACCCTCATGAGACTTATACTAACGAAGAACAATTTTTCCTTCCTTGGTGAACACTATCTACAGGTACACGGCACTGCAATGGGCACCCGCATGGCCCCGTCGATGGCTTGCCTCTTCATGGGCGACCTCGAAGAACGCATTCTTGCCTCGGCCCCATGTCGCCCTTGGATCTGGTGGAGATATATTGATGATGTTTTTTTCATCTGGACCAGTGATGAGGACAGTCTCTTGACCTTCACTAACCACATCAATTCCTTCCACAGAACCATCAAATTCACATCGGAGTTCTCGGCTCACCAAACCCACTTTCTGGATGTCACCGTCCGCAAGCAAGGCAACTCACTAACCACTGACCTGTATTCCAAACCCACAGACACCCACCAGTACCTCCACTCCTCCAGCTGTCACCCCAGGCACTGCAAAACTGGCATAGCGTTTAGCCAGGCACTCAGACTCAGAAGAATTTGTTCTAATGATTCCGATTTCTCCCGCTATACACAGATACTGAGGAACAACTTGGTGGCCAGGGGTCACAGCTCTCGCCAAGTTCATCGTGCCATTGCCAGAGCTAAAGCTATCCCCAGAAATCTAGCTCTCACGGGAAAGGCCCCTGATGCCATGGCCAAACCCATGATTCCCTTGGTTACCACGTTTCACCCCAATCTCCCTCCCCTTCGCAAAATCACTAATGACAATCACCATATCCTCCATACTTCAGATCGCCTTGCCCGCGCCATCCCCAACGGCCCCACATTGGCTTACAGGCGTCCTCGAAATCTACGGGACTTGATTGTTCGAGCTGAAGTCCCTTCCTTAGATGCATCCCCTCCCACCCAGCATGGTACTTTCAAGTGCAGTTCCAGATGTGTTGTCTGCCAGATTCATATCCAGGAGTCAGACTCCTTTTCTGGCCACTCTTCTGTCACTACCCATAGAACCATTGGTAACATCACTTGTAACACCTCTAATGTCATATATCTCATTTCTTGCAGGGTCTGTGGAGTGCAGTATGTAGGTGAGACTAAGAATACGCTCAAGAAGCGTTTCTATGCCCACCGGTCAACGGTCAACACCAAGAAACTAGACACCCCTGTTGGTCATCACTTCAACCTGCCTAACCACTCCATTTCTGATATGATTTTGCAGGGCATTGAATCTCTTGGCCATCGCAAGGACTCAGTTCGCCTCAGCAGAGAGAAAGTGTGGATGAATCGTCTCCGAACTATTCAACCACATGGTCTCAACATCCAACTTGGAAATGATTAATCCTTTTCTTCCTCCATTGTCTTCTGTTACAGATAATCCATCTGGTCTTCCTTGTTTGTGTTTACCCATCTTCCCCCATCTATCATCCACCTCAATACTGTGTCCCCCCCCCCCCCCACATCATCCCTTCACTCTCACACTCTTTTGTCCGTTCCCACTCCCTGTGACCTTTGATCCTTCCCCTTTCTGGTCCCTCCCCTGTTTACACAAGACCCCTTGTGGTTTGCCATCTCCCTTTGTTTCTTTGTTCTCTCATCCACCCTCCCCTGCATCTTTCCACACCTTTCACACCTAATCCTCCTTTTGTGTTTCTTCTTTCAGCCCTGCATGTTTGTGTGCACCCCCATGTTAATGTGTGTACCTCTGTCATTTCTGTTTTAGCCTCTGAAGAAGAACTTGCTAAGTTCGCAACGTCAGGCCACATTAATTTTAAGATTTATATATTTCAGGTCCATCCAGTCAGTAAGCAGTTTGCAGCAGTTTTACTTTTTTTCATGTTTGAATTTAGGTTAAAGTTTGAAACAGATGCTAATTATAACCTTGTTAGGATTTATCTAACAAATTCCAAAATCTGGGTCTAAATTAAATAATTTTTTGGCAAGTGAAGTTTGAACTATTGGTTAGTTGAACTGAGATGAATTGACGGGATGAATGTGCATGAACATCATTATTTCTGGGAAAACATTAATTTTGGCAAAGGCAGATTGGCAAATTTGTTAGCTGGCGCGGCATGCATGCAAGCCCAACTTGCTTCCTAGCTCCATGCTGGGAGTAACACATGTCGCTAACTTGAAGTGTTTATGTTTGAGAAAAAGCGAATCCGTGTGAGCTAGGTAACTTGTGAAATTTATTATAGTAAAGCTTTTTCTTCTGCAAAAGTTGAAGCCGATTGAGTAAACTCCAGGCTGTGATGATCATTGTTGGCATGCAAAAGGACTGAAATCAGTACTGTAGATTATGTCTACAGAGGGCGCTGTTTACATGATGTGGCATGAATTGAACCAACAACATACGTCGTAAACATGGCATACATTTCGGAAGGTGAGTAATGTAGTTGTGAAGGAAAATATCTGTTTTCAGTACTTGGTTCATTTCCATGTTAGTCAAATTATGGTGTAACTATGTTTTCGTTTCAGCGCGCAATTTGATATTGGAATTAGAATTAGACGATCACTTGTTTTTCCGCAAACTGCAAGAAAAGAAGGGGTAAAAAACAGCAGATTTTCGCATTCACTGCATTGTACAGTCGTTTTCCTAGTTCCGGATAGCAAACATCATTCAGGCTGATTTCGGCTCAACTACTCCACGAATTCAAGTGACATTGATTAAAAAGTTTACCTTGAGTGATGGAGAGACCACGAAGTAATTTTCAAAATTTACGCTCTTTTCATTTTGATTTTACGCCGTCAAAAGTGTCGATGTCACTTTTCCTAGTTCCGGATCGGTTCAATCAGTTCCGAATCGATCAAAACTGCTTCATGCGAAAAAAAAAATCACGCGAGAAAATCCTTTTTTTCAGCCAGAACCAACCGAATCAAACATATTTTCTGATAAAGTATTATTTCGTTATCCAAAAATAGTTCATGCAAGAGAATTCCAGCAAATTTTAAAAAGAGAAAAAACGTAAATGATTTTGAAACTTTTGTCTGCAGCGCCACGGCTCGAACTCACGCACGGACCGAAAATCTTTGACCCAGCACAGAATACGTCACACAAAATCGATTAACGCGCGTGTAGTTGGGTTGTAAGTGCACGCGCGATCCGGAACTAGGCAAAAGCATACGGTCATTCGTTGGCGAATTTTCAAATATTAGAGACGCTACAACTTATTTTGATTGAACAGACATTCGATGGAAGAGTTTATACGATTGTAGTGAATGAAAAAAATATTCGAAACCACACTGTACGAGAGATATACCGAGGAGAAAATTTATCGTCGATACGCAGCTCCCGTGATTTTCTTTAAACCGTCCAAGCATGTGGGAGTGCGAGTCGGAAATCTGGCCAAAATTCCTCTTCTAAAGATTTTATCGAAAAGATCTTTGGGTATCAAGAAGCTTACATTTTCCTTTTCAATATGCACTCCGTCAGATTTTTTTTATTGGAGACTAATCAAAAAGAGGTAGGTTTTTATTTGAAGCGATCCGGAACTAGGAAAAATCCGAAACTAGGAAAACGACTGTAGTTACATATGTATACATATTTGATCAGGGAAGTTGAGATGATGATGTCATTTTCTCGTTTTTCAGAACGGAAAGATTCCCGTATATCTGGCCATCATTAATTTTGGCGATCGTGTAGTGTAGGGCCCCTGCTTTGTTTAGATCAAATTAGAATCAAGACAAAAAGTAAAAAATGACATTGTCAATCATCATGCCATGCATGCCTGATTTGTTCCCAATCCCATATACAATTTTAGAAACTGGGCCCGTAGATACACGATCGCCCTCATTGTTCCCTTTATTGACTTTTCAGCCATCAGAAAGTGATAATATGCTCTAAAAAGTCAAATTGATGGCCAGATATTGGAATCTTTCATGAAGGACAACAATGTGAAGTACATTGTTCATCAAATTAGGTTTTGCCCTTCACCGACGTTTAAACACTGTATTCTCAGTGTGTTACCTCCACATTGTTCATGTTGTTATTGCAGAATACGCCGCCACTCGAAGATCACGGGAATTGTGCAACAGTTAGTTTAGCCTAGGAAACAATTATCTTTTTAAGTTCTTGAACAAAAGTGTTTTTATCGCAACCTCAAACTAGGCTTAATGTTTCTAGAAGATTGCTTGAAGCTCAAGCAATCTTCTTTGGCTCTAATATTAAGCCTAGTTTTCATAATTTTCAACAGTGGTTTGGTTACAGATGTGACTTTTTAACCTGATTTTCTTGTCATGAATGCTTGTCCAAACCATGGGTACTATCATCGCAGTCCAACGAAGTCATGGTGCACTGCAGTCAGCCTGGACATTGACTGAACTATGTGAACATGCTGAAACCATTCAGTTTATTTTGCAATCCCATTGTCATGATTATGTGATAAGGCCAAATAAAAAAAATAAATGTTAAGCGTCCTGCCTTCTTGGAAAAAAAGGAGGCAGCAGGAGGTCCTTTTTTTTGGTTTCCCCCAAAATGGCCGCCCAAAATGACCGGTTTTTTTTCAAGATGTCCGCCATTTGTTTTTTAAATGGCCGCCATTGGACTCAGGAAATGACATACCAGCTTTATATGGGCTAGATGCAAAAGACAAAGAGGCCAAAATGATGTCACTGTTGAAAATGTATAATTTTTTTTGTTAAGAAAAAAAGTGGAGGTTTTTTTTTTTCAGTTCCGCCGAGCACTCTATGGTTTTATTGATTCTTCAGTGAATATTTACATTGTGATACAATGAATTCCAGGTGCTAATGGGTTCATTCAGTTTATGCTGAATAACTGTCGTCGTTTTCCTCCAACAGGCCAGATGCTGGAGTCTAGATCGCCATGGAGGTTGGCGTTCATCGGGGAAATGTTTTGGGGCATCATTAACTTTGTCATCCTCTTGTAAGTATTACATGTATTTACCATCAGTCTCAGAAAAAGTCATTCAAGGTGTAATCATTACACCTTTAAAAGTATAAGCAATGCATCTTGAATGTGGCTTCAATATCAAGTACCTTTGCTTTCATCGGGCATGTTGTAGATATCAAGCTTCACGATCCATGGAAGAGAATAAACTTCAAGACGTTCAGTATTTTTCCGTCCCCTAAATAGGAATTTTGATTCAAAGTCTCATCCATATATTAAACAGGGGGCCTAACTATTTGATAAGATTTTTCAGCCATTGTCAAGATTGAATATTGAATGAAGGTAAAAACAAGTTTTTAAAATTTCTTTTTCATTCTCTTTCTGTGACAGCTTCCGCACAATGGTTACGGTAAGTTCACTTTTCTTGTACATGTATGTAATTCCAAATAGCTCTTTAGTGACATTGGTACAGAAAATAAAACAGAAAATAAAAGCAACAGGGATTTACAATTGCCTTTAGCGTCAAACATATATTAAGCTTGGAGTTTGAGGTTTTTTTCTGACCTATTACTAGTATAAATGTACCTTTTTTTTGTGGCTTGTACACCCAAAAGTAGTCTGGTTCACGTGCTCGTATCTCAAGGCTTATTGGTAGTGAACCAGTTAGTAATTTGCTCCTTGTCGTGTGTTGTTCATATATTTTTTTGTTAACCATGTGCCATGATTATTCTTTCTTTAGCCGGATCTTACCAGCAAGGGGCGTGGCTGCACATCAAGCTACCAAGCTGGAGGTGGAGGCGGGTAGGTACCCAAATGTTGACATGCACAGCCTGACCTAAGACGCTGCTTACTGCTTCTCACAGGACAACTTTTTTAGGGGGGGGGGACACAGTGTTCCAATGTCCAGCTACTGTTCACTGCAGCTTCCCTCCCAAACCCCAGTATGGGATTTTGAAACCTTTTATTAACTCTCCTGTAGTTAGACCATTCAAACACCTCAAAATCTGGGTTCTGGCAAATTGGAGGACAAAAAATGCAGGACCTTTTAAAATCCTCCAGAATTTATTGTTACTGCACTACCACACCTTTCAATTCCTTTCGAAAGGTATTGAAAGGCAACTTACTGAATTTGCCCACAGAGTTGCTTCACCGAAACCTTTCGAAAAGTTTCAAAGTTCCAGCACTTTTTCACCTTTCAAAACCCTTTTAGTCAGGCAAATTTAAAATGTTTTGAAAGGTCTGATAATTCTCTGCCAACTGTACTGGGCATAGCAGGGTTAATTAACAAGACGTATAAGTCCTGGAACTGTGCAAAATTATCAATGTGTATGAAGACTTGGTCCAAAACAGCATTGTTGTCTCGGGCTGTGGCTGTTCACTGTGTCAGGCCAATGGCAAAAAAACCTGTAGATGCAGAATACATGATTCAGACACTTCTTGACATTAATATCAACAATTTATTCATGATCACTGCAGTGACCACACATTAAATGTCAACATTAAATGTTGATACATGTATGTAATCAAGTGTCGGTCTGTTTTAAAATTTCCAATGGGCCGTGAATAAACTGAATTTCCACACTTCATTTGTTTAGGGTCGGTGTCTCATAATCATCTTCACTCTGTCTTGTGCAATAACCTGAGTCCTGTTGCAAGTGAGTAACGGAGATGAAACTGGCATACGGGAAAAAAATCGGAAAATAGGCCGAACAAAAATACGTGTACGAAATCTGGGCCGCTCTGCAGTATACACATGTACATGTTGTACATGTACACACATAATATGTACAATGCACTTCATACCCAATTTCCAGACACCACCTCCTGTACATTTTACAATGAGAAAAATCTTCTGTGTTTTCATAAAATTAAAAAGCTTACATTACGGTTAGAGCAACGAAGTCATCTACAAAGAAGTTCACTTCTTACTTGAGAAAGTTAAGGGAAAAGGCCGAAAGACAAGAGCACCATTGACGACACCATTGAATCATGTCCATGATTTGTATTCCTCCATGATTCAACAATGGAGCTATTCAACCAAACTCCACTAACGTACGTGGGAAAAATCGGGCATTATCGTCTTTTTCTTCCAACAACTGCCAGTGAAATGTATCACTTATGCTCTCTTCACCATCCTCAAGATGACCATCGTGATTTTTAAAACACTGCATTTTGTACAACTAAATCTAAAACCTCCGAAAATCGCACAACATGTTGGATTTTATCCATTGTGGCTACCCTAGCCCAGGTTGGACGACCCGTTGCATTTGCTAGCTGTGCACGCACACACCACACACTGTCCGTGTGACGCAGTGATTTTTCCATGTCACAGGTCAATGTTTAACCTTCTATCCAGCCGGAAATGGCTCCGATCAGTGTTGGCCTACGTGTTTCTATGGCAGAAACACTCCATTTACGACTGGTGAAAGAGATTAAAACTAGGCACGCGATGATTTACACGTGCTGTTTTTATCGACTATTTCATCGACTTTTCTTCAATCGTTAACAAATCAAATTTTGTGGGTTAAATCGTGCAAAAATCGGAAATTTTGTTGGAAAAGTCAAAAAGTCAGTTTTCCGATTAAAATCGGAAAAAGTTTCATCTCTGGAGTAATCGAATTGTAATTATCTTTTAGATTCTTTAAACTGCAATAATTTACTGTTAATTTAACCTTCCTTAATTTTGCAGGATTTGGATTGAGGAAGTAGACCCCACTTTTAATATGGGCGATCCCAATACAGCGCGGCACTAAGAGGTTGCCACGGAAAGTCAATTTTTCAAGTTTACGGTTGACAAAAACATGACCGAAAAATTTTGAAAGATCTGATGCCTCACAAAAAACACTACCTTGATAAAATGAAAAGAAGAAAACAAACAAGATACGTATATATATATGCTTAAGAAACTACTGACATACGTGTAATATGCTTAAGAAACTACTGACTGGACATCCCGCGCCATCAAATTTGTCGACCGTCTCCTACAATGCGCTGCTAAAAATGGACTCTCAGTGGCAACCTCTTGGTGGCACTGGGAATCGCCCAGATTACTTGATGCTGTTCAATAGTTCAGATACAAAGTACGTGCTATTGGTTTCCTACAGGCTGGCAAGTTATAAGGTTTCAAGAAGGTCCTTAGCAAAAATGCCTTAGAGTTTGGGTTAACAAAATGCCTTTTTTTGCCCTTCTTCCACAACAGGAGAGGGCTAGGCCCACCGCCAGGCCCAAGGAGGAGAATGGGAGGCTATGGGGGTAGGGGTGGAGCACCCAGCGCCCCACCCCCAGCCGGAGGTGGATGAGGAAGGTGAGAATCATAACCATTTGTGTCAATAAACCCTAACCCCCATGGCGTATTCTCTAGGCACCTTGCCAAATGCAACAGAATGCAGTGAACTAATACATGCCAGCCTTGGTACCAAGTACCTACCCTGAAAAATGCAACGGAACGCAGGGGTGGAATGCATGAAATCAGGACTCTGCTAAATGCAACAACTTGCAACAACTTTTTAACACTGGTGCATTCTGTTGCATTTAGCAGGGTGAGGGTTAAAGCAAAAACCAAAATAACATGGGGGTTATTTCACTGTTCGCAAACCCGAATGCAAATTTGTGAAGTCAGGGCAAGTATTTGCGATACGAATACATAAAAGTTGAACAAATTTCAATTCAGCCAAATTTCGCAGCGAATGTTTCATGACGTCAAATTCGCTTCGCTGAAGTATGAACCAGGCCTGATAAAGGAAGCGTTCTGCAACGGGGCCATTTAATGATTCAGAGAAATGATCCGAAACTCCTAGTCTGTGATCTCCTTGACCATTTCTAGACGTTCTTGCTCATTTTACTCTTTGATTGAAGCCCTATGATACCCTATCTGTAGGTGGATGTGTGCGTAAAAATGTTAATTATTATTCATGTGTTGATTGACTTGTAGGTAAATGCCCACTGTAATCCCCTACAGTGGGCATGAGCAACATCGTCAACAGGAGAGCTACTAGAAAAGTCCTACATTGTCAATTTAGCCTCACCAACTTCGGTCTGATGTCTCATGGAGCCGATCCCAACTGTGGATTTGTATCTCGTTAATCATCTGCCAAACTTAAAGCAGGAAAATCAAATAAAAAATTAATAATTTTCCCTTATTTAAACCACCGATCCTCTACACAAGGATAAACCACTTCCCCAAATTTCTGGTTAGAGTTGTGGTACGGCAGTTGTACGTGCGTGAGACTTGGCGCTCGACTGCAGTCTTTCAGTGGTTAAATTTCTGTCAGGACGCCAGCTGTCAGCGATCATGGCACGCACGCATTGGTCTACATGTTCTATGCATTGTTCTATGCGCGGACGCGGCATACCACGCATGTTGACAATCCGTTCTGTACATTTTGTACACAAGCTCATATGAGTCCTTTATCCTTGTGTAGAGGAGGATCCGCATTTAAACCTTTTATTCATCTTACCAAAAGGTGCATCATTTTTAAAAAAATTGTCGTTTCTCTTGCTTTTCACAAGAAACACCTTTTTTGCGTAACATGAGGAGCTAATTTCATAAAGTTGCTATCGGAGAACGTTGCAAAAACCGTTGACCGTATTCTGGGAACATATCCTGTTCTGAGCTCTCAATTTGACGATTTGTTGCTCACAAATCTACTGCTGCCAGAGTGTGTGCCGTACTCCACACTCAATGATGACGCCTGTATGGACAAGCCACTCACATGTGGACCCAAACAGGCCGACGGAACGACAGCAGAAAACAAACAAATTCTCCCAAAATTACATCTCTTGACCTTGGGGAAAAACTGCTAAAGTAAACCTCCAGAGTGTGTCAACTGTTTTGATACCAGTTCTGTTTCATTAGGGTCCATCTCATTTCATATCCAAGACGAGTTCCGCACAAGTTCAAGACACAGTTTCGGGTATAAGTTGCTGGATTCTGACTACTTCCCCACAATCTTCTCACAATAAAGTGATCAGCAGTGAAGAATCAAGCAGTTGCTCATGAAAATTTCCCAGAAACATGTCTAGGACAAATGAGTTGCTTCTGGACAAAGTGAACGATTCTACCTGTAACTTGTCCGGAACTCGTCCCGGATATGAAAGGGGAAAACTGTTTCCTGATGAAAAGTCAAGCTTGCAGTGTCCACATTGGCTACAGCTTTTGACACTGACATGCCACAGTGAATAGTTCTAGCCGTAGGCAAAATGCTTGTTGCAGATACATCTTGGGGTTATATTATGAGTTGATTGCCAAGGTCATAAGATGTAAGTAAGGACTGCATACATACATGCACAAATATTTCAACACATCATTTCTAATATTTGTACATGTCTGTTAATAAGATGTTTATGAATGCAATGGTGAGAATAATTTCATGAGGTGACAGATGGAATGTTCCATTCCACCGTCACCTCATTTCATGTCACCTCATGAAAATATTTCTATTACACGAATGTGAAACATGCATTACTTGTTTTATACAACACCTGAATAAATCCTGGTCATCTGATTGGTCAGAGCCACCAATCCCATGACCGTGCAATGGAACTTCTATTTACTGTGATATAGAACTTCTATTTGTGCGGTGCGATCGGGCCGTGTGTTGGGACGAAATTCAATGACGTGATGAACGACCCACCTATCAGATGATGGGGATTCATTTAGGCGTTATATAATATGTATATATTGAATTTATTTTCTTTTCATCTTCATGATTATGTTTCATCTATCTTCATGATTACTTTCATTATATCGTAAAACGATTTACATGGCTTTTATTACTCAGTAATTTTTAATGGCAAGCAATTGGTGAACCTTCCTCAATTCCTTTAAATTGTATTTGTGGTATTTTCAATGTGAAGTCATTTGCCTTACACGCTCTTTTTTTTGGGGGGGGGTGTTAATATTTTGAAGTTATTGATGTTGGTGACATTGAATTCCCAAAGCGATCCAACAGCAATCGGTGTACTATTTACATTTATGTATTTTGTTGTAGACTATTTGTAGCTGAGATAATGTCTTGAGAGGAAATATTTTTAAATCATTATTGTTCAGTTTTTTTTTGTTGTTTTTTGGGGTCATCGTTGGACGTGTAAGATACTTGTAATGAAATAAAGTACATTTTTTTATCTATCCAAGGGAGTTTTCATTCGTGTTCTTGTGAAATATAGACTCGTGTAAATATGCAACATCAGAAAACAACATCTCTACAAACTGCCTTTTTTTTTTGGATTGCAATTTTTCAAACATTTTATTAAAAAACGTTCCTTGCATTACGTTACAAAATTTGGCCAGAACAAAAACAAATGTCCAAAGTTTAAAAGACATTATCCTCCAACTTAGATGATTTGTTCCTTTTTTACGCCTTTTCAACTTGTAATATTCCCAACTTTACTTGGGGCACATATTGTTTGGAAAAAAGATGAACTGAATTGGTGGGATTTTGAGCATCCCCACAACTTCTTTGGTTCCCACAAAACCTGTCGTAAAACTGCAGAACAAGAGTGCATTGTTGTCCATCAACAGTACAGGTATTCTTTGAAGGGCAAACTCGCAGAACTGTTTGATGTTGGATAACTGGCAGTGCATTATCAACCAATATGCGACACTCCAGCACAAAAAACAAGTCATTTGGACCAATTTTTCAAAATTGAGATTTTGGGCTTATTGGAAAGGACACTGAATAAGCTTTCCAAAGATGTATACAATAAACAGACATGCAACGTTTCCTCGCATCTGCTGATTTTCATCATTTTTTAAACTCCTCATGAATGCCATTACAAATTGAAAAATACTGTAAGTCTTGTGTGGTTTGGAGTTTCCTCGGTTTTTTTTCTTCTAAATTCTCAGCTACATGCCTGAATATGGGAATCTGACAGGTTTAGTTATTTGCAGTTCCTCATTTTCAGGCCTGAGAAACTTTTAAAAATTCAGAAATTTGTTGCTAAATTTTCCCAAATGAACTCCTTAGGAAATTTACACATTAACATCATTGAAAATCAAAGATATTTATTATTCTAGCCTCTAAATTTATATTGTTTGTTTCTGTTTTTAATTGTGTAATGTATTATACACGGTGGATTAAAAAAAAAACGAAAACGAAATATTATTGCTATTTGGAATAGAAGTAGTCCACATGTGAATGAAAGAGAGATATAGGGTTGAATCTTCTCTTTACAACGACACCCTGATCATGTCCCCAGATTCACGGTTGACTGAGCAGCGACCAGTTTTATGAAAGGGTCTCTTTAGAGAATGGCGCCACTTTTCAATTGTGGTTTTTGTGGTGTCATTTGTCACAGAGTGAAAGGCTATGGTTGCCAATCAAGAAAGGTGGGGGAAAAAAAGAGATTTCACCATGAAAAGTGGCGCATTTCTCTAAAAAGACCCTTTCATAAAATTGGTCACTGCTCAGTCAACTGTGAATGTAAGGACATGATCAGGGTGTCATTTTAAAGAGGAGATTCAACCCTAACAGAGGATATCTCCCTTTGATTCACATGTGCCCTACTTCTGTTCCAATAAGCAATAATATCTCGGTTTCGTTTTTTTTTTTTCCCACCCTGTATATAGGCTGTATCTCAAAATAGGACCATGCTACTTGCTTCGTGCTGGAGGGAAACATATAAAACATAAATATAGCAATGATGCTACCACACAAAAGGTGAACGTTCCCTCAGTACTTTGAGTCCATGTTTCCTCCACTCCCATTGCCTTATCCATAACTCTTGCGCTGTGTCCAGGCACGCTAGGACCGTGCCTCCCTTCCAACATGTCATCCGTGGGTCAAGATCCTAAAAAAAGAAAAGATGCAGAGCTGATGAAAATGTAACCCTTGCAACGTTGTTTCTCGGAGAATTGAGGATCTAGAAACTCACTGTGGGGTGGGGGACTGAGAGGGAGAAAACTTGTCCGCCAAATGCAATGAAAAATTTAAGATGAACAATATTTCACATAGAGGGTAAGCTGTGTGTCGAATCTGGGAGTGCTTTCAATAGGCAATGCATGTATTTTCTAATTCCATGAAATTGTGAGAAAACATGTGATTTGGAGTCTGATGCCTGTGTCCGATGCATTAAAAGGGATACTTTAACTTTATTTACAATTGTAATCAGGTCTAAGGTAACTGCAATAAAAATGCAGAATTGCACAAATTTGGTCCATCTGCTGTTGTTTTTGATCCAATCACAAGTACAGTCACAAGTACAGTCATAACTCTATTAGTGATGCGGGTAGCCGTTTGGTCGGAGTGTAATGATCCAGATCCAGATATAATGTATATAGTGCAGATTATGCACAGACATTTTTCATCGGAATGTACATATTCTTGTAGCATTTTTGGCAGAGGAATGCACCTTAGCATAAGCATATAGTGGCAAGGGCCCTGTCAGAGTTGAAGTCGAGGTACGTGTCAAGGATTACGAGTATCCAGTCCCAAGTGATATCAAGAGCGCTGGACTTGTGAATTGCCTTATGATAATACCTTTAAACTTGTGATATACTTGTACCTCGACTACAATAGACCCCTCTCAAACAACGCCATCTTCGTAGGAAAATTACAACTGCATATTCACCACCATCAGGTACGTGTGCCCGCAGTGTGCATAAAACAAACCTCTTCGCTGGCGCAGCACAGCCTATGGGCGTCACCAAAGTCATGAAAGTTCCGATGCATGCACAAATCTTTAGGCAGTGACGTCATTTGAGAGAGATCTATACTGCTCCAAGTGTCCTTTATCTCTCTCTGTTTCTATCTCTTGGTTAGGGGGGGGGGGTTACTGGTGTACATACCTTTGATTTGCATATGACTTCCACTTTGTCCACCACTCTACGGAAGGAGGGTGGCATCTTGGTCTGTACACGATGTTGAAGCATGTCTGCCGCCCCCTGGAAATGACTGAGCCCACCCCCGACCACCAATATACAGCTGTACATCTTCTTTTTGGTTTCGTCCGATGCTGTACAACAAAATTAGGCCAGATATTGGCATTTTCAGACATTTGTTTCAATGCATACTTTTTTTTGGGGGGGGGGGTTTGCTGTTCCTGTTTTTTATATTCTTTATCAATGAATTAAAGCATACTAAGTTTACTGTTGGGTAGCATTACATATGTGCATGGGCGTCAAACGGTGGGGGACGTATCATATCGTTTGTCCCCCCCCCCCCCCCACTTTTTCGTCCCCCACCAAAAAAAAGTTGCCTACATATAATTCTATAGCTCAGAATACATGATTCAATTACTCCAAACTTAAAAATGATGTTTAAATTATGATCTTTTGCTCAAAAAAATTGGTTAAAGTGGTCACAAATTGTCTCAGATTGCACCACAGAGCGTCTAGAATCCAAAATTTTTCGGGGCCCTTTAAGCGGACCCTCGAACCCCATGCCGTTAGGGCTTCACGCTTGCAATAGTTCCAGTCAACGAATGTTCCCCCCACTTTTGAAAAGCGATTGAAGCCCTTGCATATTTGAATACATCAAGCTGAATTGCAACGATGGTCTGCCGACCATCATTGGAAATTGATACAAAAATACCACTTTTCTTGAAAATGTCAGCACACCGGGTGCCATGATTTTACAGGATTCTTTAGACTGTCATTCACTGACAGTCCAGTGATTCATAATAGTTTGGTAGTTTTGTTTTTTAATGTTTGCAAATGTTGTATATTGCCTTTAAGTACACAAATTTGCCGAGCACAGAGCTGAGCAGAAAAAGGTTACCAGCTAAATATCAAGTGATGTATACTGCTTGTGACTGGGGCCCAGCGATGTTTCGCTAAGAACATAAAATTGCTAAGCAATATTTTCTGCTCTGCAGTTCTATAAACTTGGGCTCTAGATGCTTGGACTTACAGCAGCAGTCAATACTGTGCAGTATGGCCTGGTCTACCCCTAACGGCTTGTCCAGCGACTGGGAGGTGGAGATTCGTCGGGAGATGGTCGGAGGCGGGGCTTCCTCTGCCTGAATCAGGTCACTCTGTGATTGGCTGGTTGGGGAATTGGACAACTGGCTCCCTGACGACGTTATCATGATACCATCTGCGTTCTGATTGGTGGAATCCGAGTTGGGGGCTGTGCCAGATTTCTTGGTTGACTGTAAAGGGTGTAAAGTTTTGATAAAGCTATGATTTTGTGCAAATCTCATGAAAACTCTGTATTGCACACACTGTTTTACTTCAGATTTGTCCATGTTCCTTATACAGAGAAACTGTAGGCCATGTGCATGCTGTAAGCCACAATTTTGTGAACATTCCATGACAAATTGTGTGCCATTTGCCTGCCTTGTTCAACTCTGATGCAAGTGAACAACGTTTAACATCTCAGCTATTTTAGTTATGGCAGTTAAGTGGTGAATTGACTAATTTGTCAAACTCAATTCAAAGCTATTACCGAGGTTCGTGACTCATAATCAGGGGGTCAGAGGTTCGAATCCAGCTGCTGGCTTTATGTGGGGTCCTTGGGCAAGCCATTTCTACACCACTTGCCTCTCTCCACCCAGGAGTATAAATGGGTACTGGCGTTAGCTGGAGACCTGCGTTGGACTGGCACCCATCCAGTGGGAATAGAAATATTCTCAGTCGTTTCATGACAAGGAAACTGGAGATAAATGCTGGTCTAATGGGCCATATTGGCTCATGACAGACTTTACTTACGTCAGTCGAAACAGCATGGATTGAGCGTGTACAATTGTCATAAGAGCATGGTTCCACGTCAGTTATGGCTTCACGTTGAGGTCAGCAGATTAGTCCATACATGTGTAGTTAATATATTGTGGGCTCTGTGCGCAATTACCCCCTCAACGGTAAGAAAGGGAGAGTTGGGGGAGAACACTTGGACAGACATTTGTACGCACTGCCACCAGTGACCTGATGCTCCTACAAAAATGCTACAGTTTTGCATACAGAATAAAATTAGTTGTGTATACTTCACGCTATACGCGTGCAAACCAGTGCGCGCATATGGTGTGTCCCGTCCACTGGCTCTCGAAAGTGGTAAGAAAGCGCCCTCTCTTGTTTGCGCAAGGAGCCTATTTCTCCAATGCCCACATATCCTCACCTGTTGTTGCTCTTTCTGCGTCTGCAGCAGGTACAGCTCATCGTGCACGTCCTCCGAGTCTCCCTGGTTCCGCTGCTGCGTGTACGTCATCTTCTCTCCGATGACGCCAAAGATGAGCGGGTAGAAGAGCCCCATGGGAGCCTGCAGGGTCTCATCGCCCAGCTTGAGCTGGTACATCAGGGTGGGGTGGTCTGGGTACCGGACGTGGAAGTCTAGTAACTGGACTCCGTCCAGGTCCTGGATGGGAAGTTTGCAATGTAAAAAAAAAAGTCAGGAGGGAAGTTCAGTGCGAGACTGTCCAAATCTGGTATTTAAAGGCTACGGCTTTGTTTGTTGCCATTGGTATAGTAGTCAATAGCCACAGCCATAAAAAACAACCTCTACAACATTCTGTCTTTACTTTCTGATGAAAAATTAACAATTTCAAACTCAACAGTTGTGATCATTTCAATGACAGACACATTTATCCTCATTCTACGATTATATAAAAATTCAGAAATGCTGCGCTGAAAAAAAAGTTGGTTTTTTTTCAAAATAGAGCTGAATGACTTTGTCAAAACCTTTCAATTATCGCCAGATATAAGCGTTTGAGAAAGATTTGCTTTGACCAAAACGTTAGGCCTTCTATCTTTTAATCAATATCCTCAACCCTTCCCCCTTTAAAAGCAAATAAAGATGATAAAGTTGACCTGGTCAAGATGGCAGAATGTTTCCTTGAGTTCAAGAAGTAGCAGAGCATCCATTGTCTTGGCAGGCTGGCACTCCTGGTAAGGGAAGAAGGCCCTCTCCAACAGCCAAGTGAAGCAACGGGTGACGTCACTACCCCCATAGGTCATGCACAACCTGAATGAAAGGCAGCTCACAACTATTAACCATTATTACACTTCGTAAATATTTATGAGCAAGTGCAATTTTTTCATTGGTCAATATTCCTCCTCATTCAATCTAAAGTATTAACCCTAACCGCCCTGAATCCTCCAAAATCCTTTTTGCAAATTGGAGGAATTTGCAGGATTGAGGTTACATAGCAAAAGTGCGTTGCTGATTTCCTCCAAAATCCTGATTTCGGAGTACGCACTGTGTCAAGGTCTTGGTCCGGACCTTGTGTTGTTTATGCTCAGCCGTGCATAAATTTAGTCCTTGATTATACTTGACATCCTCCGCACTGCTCCAGGATGTCACTGCCTCTGCCTCAGCCTATTGACAGACATAACTGGAGGATTTTGCAGGATTCAGGCAGTGGTCATCCCTCCATGGACCATATTCAAGAAATAACAGAGGAATTTGCAGGATTGAGGCTATATGCTATATTTCCATGAGGCCAATTGGAGGATTTTGCAGGATTGAGGCAACATCCTAGCAAAAAGGCCTAGGGAGTTAGGGTTAACGCCTGGCTAGGTCACACTTCTTTGTCGTATTCAACATCAGCCAGTGTAATTCCCAGACTAAAAACTAGACTCTGACCGTGGTAAATATTGCCTTTTTGTAAAAGATTCTGTTCAGATCGTAACGTCTGGCGCTCCTACGACATGAAAAGTGAGAGAAAGCCACGAGGTACCTTGTATTTCTGTGGGACAAGCCGTCTTCAACGCAGCAGACACTGGTCTTCTGGTCACCTACATCTACAACACACGCGCTGCTGAGTCCACTGCCATAGGTGGCTAAAACAGACTCCTGAAGTATAAAAAGAGTCAATGTTACGGGCCATAAAAAAAAAGAATGCACCAGGAAGATTTAGATAGAGGTGTGCCTTGGAACCAGGTAACCGAGTTCCTGACTGCTGATGACAGGAACCGGTTCCAGATTATGGGTTCGGGTAACCGTATCCAACTTTACAAATTACTTGGCAAATATTGTTTCACTTTTTTGAAGTTTTCCATTCGTAGATGCTGGAAAAACCAAGAAAAACAATCTTTTCCTGGAGTCTGGATTCCTGACCCCACTTAAGATGAAACAGAGCAATTTATAGATGTCGGGGAATTTTAAGGTTAGGGAACCAGTCTAGCTGGCTCGCACCCTTCACGGACGTGTAACCAATTGCAAACAAAGTGTGGACTGAATAAATTTGATAAATTGGGGGCAGTATTATAAGATGGAGTTTTGCGTCGGGGTGATATAAATCAAATTAGGTTTTGCCACTACATCTTATAATAGTTTATGCGATACCCACTGCTATGTACATCAGATTCGAACCGGCCAACCGATCCCGTTAGCTCGGTGGTCGAGTGGTAAGACATCTGCACTAGAAAGCAGGAGGTCGTGGGTTCGAGTCCCACCCGAGTGATTTTTTCCAACTTTCACTCGGGAGGTAACACACTGAGTATACAGTGTTTAAAAAACGTCGGTGAAGGGCAAAACCTAATTTGGGGGCAGTAGTTGAAAAAAAAACCAGTCAGATTTTTCCAAAGCTGGTCACCTGACCAGCGTTGGGAATTGATACAAATATACCACCTTTATTGAAAATAACAGCACACCAGGTGCCATGATTACACAGGATGCTTTAGAGTGTCATTCACTAACAGTCCAGATAGGTATTTCGTGATAATTTGGTAGTTTTGTTTTTTGATGTTTGCAACTGTTGTATATTCTCTTTAACTACACGACAGATGACGCTTGCAAATGTTGCAGTTTAAACCGCAAAGCTATAAAGTCCCTACGAACAATTTTCCGGACTTGAATTTTAGGGTTTGGCTTCTTTAACGGGTACCCGTAAATGCACACCACTAGATTTAGAAGATTTTGCAAAATTAGGAAAGTGGAGCCCAGTCCCTATTTCATTTACAGGAGCTTGATTGCTATATAAAAGGGAACTGAGGTTTCTTTGAGAAATCAACCCATTGGTCCCAGTTCTCCCAAAGCAACCTGCCTATTACTCCCAGTACAGTGGAACGTCGCTATACTGAACACCGCTATACCGAACATTCGGCTATACCGAACATCGTCCTTGGCTCCCGATTTTTGTGTACAAAACCAACCGAACATTGTTGTTGAAAACCATCAACAGAAGAGCGACAAGTGGCTATTATTTCCCCAAGGCATAGAAGGGGAAAGCCACCCATCGATGTAGGTAGTAAGCTCAAAACTGTGTAATTACATTATTCAATAGTCGGCACATGTTCGAAGTCGTCTTTCAGTAACTACCAGGGCATGCACGGTGAAGTTCTGAAGGGTGCTATTTATTGAAAAGTGAATACTGGAGCACCAGCAGCTTAAAATCGCTATACCGAACGATCACTATTACAAACATTTTCTGTGGATCCCGCGATGTTTGTTTTAGCGGCGTTCCACTGTAATGCCAAAATGCATGATTACACTCTGTGGTTTTATTGATTCTGCAGTGAAGTAACACAATGTAACACAATGTAATACAATGTAATACAATGTAGTGAAGTGCTAGTGGTTCAAGATGCTTCACATTGTTCAGAGCACACAGACTGTAACATTACTGAACACAATAAGAACCACACATCTCTTTTACTTCAGTCACTTACTGGTCACACTCTTCACTTGTTCCATTTCCAAATGGGAGCTTCTCAGAGATAAAGTTTTGAATTTGTTTGTTCCCGGTTGATGCAGTTTATTTTTGCAGCTTACCTGGTGGACGATGGCAGCCCCAAACCCCATCCTCAGCAGCAGGAGGTTCATGAGTTCCTTGACGTGAGGCCGATGATAGATATCAGGTATCACTAGAACGGCACGGTAATGCTGTGTACAAAATAGGAACAAGTTACAAGAAAAGAAATAAGACTAAATTCCTAAAAACACTTAACGATAATTCTACCCACGCCAAACTGATTTAACTTACATGTACTTGGGCTTGAATACTTTGAACAAAATCTGACAAATTGTAAGATGATTTAAAAAATATAGCACGTAAAAAGAATAACCTTACAAGTCACAAATGATAACATCTTGCACTAGAATTTGTGGGTTTTTTCCTCCATTCTTTGCAAAGTAGACTTGATTCATTGCATTCAAGTTGACAGTTTTTCTTTGAATTAATGATACGGCTGTCCCGAATATACCACATATTTGAAGATTCGTTCATCAACCGAAATAATATTCAAATAGCTTTTTGGCCATTTGAATATTTGAGAAGAAAATAAAATTACGCACATGCACACATGCATATGATGTTAGTTTAATCGTAAAGTGCCACTTTTTTTAACGGTAACTTTTTGTCGACAGTGGTTCATTGCTCCCATCCTTTTTGCAGGTAGGCCTAATTATACAATACTGAAGGTAAAACACTCCAGCGATCAATAAAATCATTTGCCGCTCGCAAATTTTAATCGGCACCCTTTGCGTGCAACTTCTAACCAGCGTGGCACGCAGTGGCAGCTGGCATGTGAAAAACTCGATCGGAGAGTTTCAAATATTGGAATATTCGATGAAACCCAGTTTCGAACAATCAAATACTGAATTATTCGAAAATGGAGAGCCCTAATTGTTGATTAAGGGAACCTCATCAGCACAACAATTAATGTTATGGAAACCGGTACATGATAGCACGGAAAAACCATATTGTCAATTGTTTCTACTCACAAGCAATTGGCATGAAAAGAGCGCGCCCAAGCATGAGCGTGCACTGGCATGAGTACTGTTGCTCTCATCCTGTGCAGCCCATACAATGTACTGGAAGAAATGCTTTGAAACTGAGACCACACAACTGCCATCAATACAAGTACATTAATTAAGGGTAACCCTAACCCTGCCAGACGCAGCACAGTGCATCAGGTGGAAAAGTCTGGCGCACTTTGATGGAAAATGCTACCAACACCAGTGCATAAACCGGCCACTTCTGAGACACTGAGAGCTAGCTAGTCCCATGGAACAATGCCCGAGTTGTATCCTGCTGCAGTGGGTGACCACAGACTCTGAGGCAGTTTGGCCTCGAGACTTTTGACGTGATGGATCTTGCTTCACTGGGCAGGCTTGTCACTTAGACAAGTGTTGCATGTTGCTGCGTTTGGCAGGGTTTCTAGCCAAAATACCCTGGAGGGTTAGGGTTAATTAAAGGAGTACTCATTTACTTTCAGGTCTTTGAGGGGAATGTTCAGTTTCTGCTCCAGGGTCGCGCCCCAAATGGTCTCCAAGTCTTGCAGCACGCTCGTCAGCGAGCCGCCAATTCCTCTGTGAAGGTTGAACAGACCTCGTCTGATTGGCCAGTGGATGCTGTAGCCATCGGTGGGTTGCAGATACAAAACCTAAAATGACAACACAAAATATCGATTGAACATTATACAATTTTCAATGCTTGAGACCTGTGTTTGATTATTCTCAAAAGCATCAACCACCAAACATGTTAAGCGGAAAAATGATACAGGAAAAAATGTACAGCAAAGATAAGAAAAACATGATTTCATGCAAAGAAATATACTGTGATGTTAGTAATTTTCAGCAAGTGCCCTGAAAAGTATTGAAGGTACATATCGTCGGTTGCACCACGAACCGACATATCGCATTTTTTTGTGTTTCGAGAAAAACCGATTTAAGGTTGGTCATTATTTTGTAGGCTCAATCCATATACTCCCTGTGTAAGAACTCAAGCTGTTTCGTTTTGGCTAGTAAATTAAAGATTGAACTTAATTGTATGCAATCCGTGTGCATCTGAGTTGCTAAGTTTTTGAGAAATTCAGCTCCAAAGTTACTCGTCACTTCCTGAAACAGATTTTTATCATGTTTATCGTATGTCATACAACGCGCGTAATAGTGGCCATGTGCCAAATACGGAGATACGTCGGTTCGTGAAACGCTAAATTCCAATTTTTCATGTCGACGCTGCTTGGTGACGTCATAGCACTATGGGAATTAGCGTGTAAAGCGGCGTATCGGGATACGGGTGCAGCATTTTTCATTTTTTTATGAATCTAATTAGCGTTCTTAGTTCATTAGAACTCCGATTGGAATAAAACTTTTTGAGAATGAGCACTGTGATGAAATACTAACGTTAATGACAAAAACTCAATTTGGCAAAAAATCGAGATACGCCGGTTCGTGGTGCGACCGACGATATGATTAAATTACTTTTATTCAAAGAACATCACCCCATTTAAGAACGAAATTGAGGTATCAATTGAGTGCAAGAGGATACCTTTAAAGTGGAATCCGGCGACCAGAATTAGAAGCTTTTACTCACGCGAATGCTGCCTGCATTCTTATAGACGAGGCGTGCGCGCATTATGGTATTCCTATTGTTCGAAGGAACCCAAAGTGCGTGTGTACTACCTGAGCCTAACTCGCGCGAGCCTGGTGCCACCGCAGAAAAAGGCTGCTGCCGGATTTGTTCAGAATTACACACAATAAAGTTCACTGTCCGTAATGCTGTGTACTTTATAATGTAGTTTATCAAGGTATTCCTTTATCTAATCTGGTATCCTCTGAAGTTTTCAACGTCTGCTTGCAAGAATTTGTACATTTTGACAGCCAACTGTTCCCTCATTGTCTTCCGCACATGTACGTACCTCTTCACCGACAATGAACTCAGGTTTGCTAGAGGTGTTAGTCCACTGCATACCAGAATTATCATCCAGCGGCTGTGATTTGACAGCACGGTTGAAAGAAAGCACCTGGCAAAGAGGAAAAAAAATCCCGTAAAATGATTTCAAATTACAAAATTGCAAAAGTTTCTGTCTGAGTATCACCCCTTGTCCAAAAGAGCCCTCTCCGTATCCATAGTCTGATATATCTAGATCCTTTTTCCCTGTCCCTGTTACCTTGGTACTTTATAAGTTACCATTCAATTATCATTGACGATGACTTCAAAGATAAAACAATTTTTTTTGTACTTGTTGGGTAGGTAGCTTTTCATGATCACTCTTTGGAGGGTGACTGCAGTATAAGGATTGCAACACAATAAAAACATAGATGTCAGATGTAACAGGGGGGCGGCCAAAAAAAAGGTGGACCCCAAATTTTTAGAATGACCTCATTGCCATTACATGTACCTCCACGGCTGGGACGCCTTGTCTTCGCTGGCCCAGAGACGTCTTGCGAGACCAAATGGCTTGCTCCACCATCTTGAGTGTGTGCTCCTGCTGGGTGTCACTGTTAGGATGCTGCAAGGATCCACAAATCCACAGTAAGAAATTCATCGAAAGTAAGACATTCAATCCACTTCCTCTCCGATAACATGCACACATGCTAGTCACCAAAAATCAGATCATATTTCCGAAAAAAGGCTCTTCATTTTGCTAGTCAAATTCCATCAATGAATAATTAAGAAGCATCTGAACTCACAAATATGCCATCTCTGATGAGGACCGAGTCTTCGTATTTCGGCTGGTTGTGGGACTGATCCTTCTGTCGTCTCGCAATGACTTGTGGGATAGTGACTGGCTGAGCGTCTGTAGCCCGGCCAATCCGTAGCCAGTATGAACCGGGGTGGATCACAACCACTGTTGTCCACTGTATCGGCTGAAAAGCCAATGAATAAAATAGGTTAACACATTTTTGAATACAGAGTACTTACATGTACTGGTAATTTTGATTTGAGTAAATTTGAAACTGCTATTTATAAAGGAAACAATGGGGTCTACTCATCAGTGGTACTCTTGTTGATGAAGGGCTAACCCCAATGATGTTATTATTTACAACTCCCGATGAAAAATTATATTACCCCTTATAGCTTTTGTAGTTGGTAAACAGGTTCGTAAGCATGATCTAGTATGTTATAGTCACCAGATCAGGCACAATATGTGCCAAATGTTTTAAAAGGCGAAGGGCACACGTGTTGCTAATGGACTATGTACTTTCAAATGTCACAAAATGTGTTCCTCAATAGAGCGTGAAAGTTCACCCCTGGTGGTGGCTTCAAGGGCCCTTGAATAGGAAAGTTCACATGTAAAAGTTCTAGAATTTGCAATTGTTTCTGATTTATTGACTTTATATCCCCCCCCCCCAAAAAAAGGGCCTTGGTAATTGTTACTATATCAATTTACAGAAACTAATAAATCGCCTGACTTGAAAGGGAAATATTGTGACCAAAAATGACCTCTCACTCTCAGTCACTTCTGAAAATCAAAAAAACTAAAACATGAGGACTAGAGCAAGACTTGCAGATGCATACCCCTAAATCAGTGCCTTAGATGCCCTAGCCCCATAAATGTGGCCAACTTACTGGACTTCCTCCGTAAATAAAGGCCACACTTCCACCATGTACAAAAACATGTCGAACTTTGTCAAATTTTGATTTTCACATTTAGGCTTCGTTTGTAGTTTGTTTTTGCTTTAGAAGCAGACTCACCCTCTTTATAGGCTAAATAGAAAGTGCTGCCTTTTTCAGATGTCTAATTTTCGTGAAATTTTATGTTGAAATTTTGATACGCAAACGTGTGCAAACGAATCTGGAAATTTCATGAAAAATAGACATCTGAAAAAGGCAGCACTTTCTGATAAGGGTGAGTATACTTCTAAAGCAAAAGTAAACTACAAACTAAGCCTAAATGTGAAAATCAAAATTTGACAAAGTTCGACATGTTTTTGTACTTGGTGGAAGTGTGGCCTTTATTTACGGAGGTAGTCCAGTAAAATTGGCCACATTTATGGGGCTATATATGCCCTATAATATATGTGGATGACAATTTTTAACATTTGAAGTGGTCATTAGGTGAAAACTGAAAATGAAATACAACTTACCAATAAATATAGGCCTGTGTCTTTTAACTATGTTTCCAAGTTGTGTGAAAAATAAAGTGCTATTGATAGTATTTTTAATAAGAAAAAAAACCCCAAATTTGACTGTTAATAAATTTTCAGGTGCAAAGAATTGAAGAAAAGTCTCCTTTAACATGTTTAAAAATTGAATTGAGTCAATTTGAGACCTCAAACTTGGCTGGTAAAATAGTGTCTACTGACTCTGAGGACCTTGTCTTTACTTCATGAACATTTCGGAGAATTTTGTCAACTATTGTAATAAAGAGTTAGCAAAGTTGGCATGAATGTGTTTTGCATGTACTATGATGTAGGCCTATATGTTTTTCTGCACTCAACTTGTGAAAAACATGATGATGGTCTAGCCCAGGTTGGACTAGTCTGAGTATCACCCGTTATCCACGGGGCCATCTCCTGTCTAACGTCTGATATGTCAAAGCATGCAGATTTATGCAAGCCGCGCGCCAGCCAATCGGAGACGACTTTAATAAATCGTGACGTCATTTCATCCCAAAATCAGGACTAACGCTGTGATTGGTCAATTCGTATGCAGCGTTTTGTAATACAACAACAGCCGGGAGCGCATTCGCGTAACATGATACCGAACACCGCGCGCCATGATTGGTCAATTCCAATGCAGCATTTTGTAATACAACAACAGCCAGGAGCGCATTCGCGTAACATGATACCGAGCGCCGCGCGCCGTGACATTTTTTTTTTAATCCATGTCTATGACGCGCAACGGGTGACCGAAGACCCGATAGACCTATAGAAAGCGCCTGCTGATTGGTCAAAATCTAGGAAGTCAAGACGCGGGGTCTTGCCTTTTTAATCAGCAAAGCTGTTCGCGCATAATAGACTACGGCATTCGCCGTGGTCTATTACATAGACTAAGGTTGGACTCTGTTGTGTACATGATGATGGTCCTGTTGTGCCCATTCTTGAAAATCACGCAATCTTAAGAATGCGCGCGCATTCTTAAGAATGAGCGCGCATTCTTAAGAATGAGCGCGCGTTCTTAAGAATGAGCGCTCATTCTTAAGATTGCGTGGGAATATCACAGGCACAATTTATGCATTTTGCGCAATCTTAACAAACATTGCACGACATAATTACATGAATTATGTTAAATGAAATGTATAGCGGTTAAAAGGGAAACAATTCATATAAAGAGGAAAGAAAATGTTCTATGCTTCTGTACTCGTATAACTACAATAATTTGAATCAAATTAAACCTGTTATTATTGCTTTTTCCTGCCCACTATGGGAAGTTTTGTAATAACGGAGGACTGGGAACTAGTCTGGGAAGTGCTTTGTTTAGGCATAGACAAGTTACAAGTCCCTGTATGTATCATATGCATGCCACGAAAAAACACACCGATGTCCAGAAGCTGCCAAAATTGTTCTTTTGACTAGATAGAATCCAGCTCTGCGGCGTAATGGTGGGGGTGTGAACAATAAATTGGTGGCAATTTAAATGGGAAATAGCATTAGCACTATGGGATGTCGCAGTATTCATTCTCATTCTTCACATTCTTCATTCTTACGTCCCCCCCCCCCTCGCTTTTATTATCCCAAAAATCAGAATTCTTTCCAATACACTATTATTATGTCTCTTATTTTTTCCTGGTCCCCCCCCCCCCCCCCCCCCCCATACGCGTATACTTTTCATATCCACTACTTTTCAGCGCCTTGCGTTGCAACAGTATAATTATTGAGAATCAGTGAACGAGGATGCAGCTAGACTGGCCAAGCGCAGCAGGTGCTCGGTATCGACAAGACCGTTATCTTGTCGCGCATTCTTAAGAATGTGCGCTCAATCTGGAAGAGTTATTTTTTGCGAAGATTGCGCAAGGATCCAGTTGCACAATCATAAGAATGTGCATGCGCATTCTTAAGAATGCGTGATTTTCAAGAAAGCGCACAACAGTCCCACTCCAGTCCCAGTCTCTCTCATTCTCTCTCACTCAGACTTAGGCCTACTCACTTAGTTAGTTTAATAAATAACAGTGGTGACATTGGAAAATTAAAAAAAAAAAACTAACTTCAATTTAAAGATATTTATGTTTTTACCTCAACCATGCTTTAAATTCAGTAATGCCTGCACAAAACGGAAGACTTTAGAAGAAACCGACAAAAATCCCGCACACGAAAACAATACGATAGTTGAAAGGTATTGTGCACATGTACACAGAGTCCGATTCCCTGTCTCCGCAATGAATTCAAGCGTTAGAATTGAAGTATTTTCACTAGTCTGGTTCTATTATGATAATGTTTACCGAGTGGTGCATTATTCATAGTTTTCCTTATTTTCAGCCAATGAAAACGCGAGAACTTTATGTCGCACTTTGACCTCTGTGGAATAACTCCACCCACTTCGGACATTTCGCGGAAGTATATTTCTCAAAAATGATGGCGAATCCTACGGGGCAACGTCGTAATCCAGCAATCGTAAATGCCCCTTCGAAACTACTCAGCAAATCTGAAAATGACCAAGTAGTTAACCTTCTTGGAAGTAGGTGTTGGGTGAGTTCGGTTTGGTTGGTAAAGGGTAAATTTAGTGGGTAAATAAACTGACCCTTGCAAAGTTTTTGTGTTCAGGGTAGCCCAGGTTGGGTAATCCTTACTTTTAGGACCCCGTTCCTATATAAGGTTAAAAGACTCACCAAAACAACTGACTAAATGACACTCAAAAGTGACATTCTGGAATTTCTTGTCGTATATCTAAACAGTATGACACCTTCTTGAATATCGGCAGGTTTAATTTTGTGGAAAGAGGCTGGCAGGGGCTTTGATTTTAGAGGGAAATTATTAGGGGAAAACATGACGATGACGAACAGAAAACTGACTCAAAAACTAATATGGCAAACTGCAAAAAAGGATAGGAAAGTCACATTTTCTTTGGAAGTGCTTTCAAAATTACAACTAACATGAATTTATCTGAAGAAAAAAGACTGCTTTAGCCTGCAAAAGTCACTTTGGTACTGGACAGTCATCTGCTAAAGAAGTTTTGAACAAAACTCGTAAAAAATAGAGGTGTCCTAAAGGTAAGGATTACCCCAGGTTGGACTCCGTTGTGTATTGTTGATGTACCCTAACGCGGCGCGGCCCCTAACGTGGCGCACTTTGATTTTTCGGCTGTAGCGCCTAGCTAGAGCAAAAGTTTTAACTGAAATTTTACAGAAAGTGAAATTTCATCAAGTTCTAAACACTCCCGTTCATAAATCGCGAGTTTATTTACCCGCTACAAAGTTAAAAGAAAAAATTATTTTGGCGTGATTTTCCGATTTTATTTTCAAGTGCAAAGTGAACCCTTTGAAAATGCCTCGTAAAATAAGGAAATAATTTTCTGATAAACATCTGGCTGGGTATGTAAGTAGAGATAATAATGTTTTATCAGAATTTATCAAGTTTACAGAAATTCTTAAATGTTAATTTGGAATTTTCCGAGATTTATTCAAGTGCGCCACGTTAGGGAACACTCCGCCAATTTGTGCCCAATTTCCGGACGCCACCGTTTTTTAATTTCGGCTTAAATTTTATGAAACCAAAATTGTTCACAGAGCTTAAATAGCAAGTATTAATAAGGTAAAGTACCAGTATTTCACTGCATGAATTTGAGGTTTGTCAACAAAGAGGTTTGGCAACAATACACGAGGAAAGTTGGGTAAGCTTCGAAGTGCGCCACGTTAGGGAACACGACTATACACGCATGTATGAAGAGACATATCACTAGTCGTATTATGCAATGAAGACGTCGTCCAACCTGGGCTAAGCAGTCCAGCTTTTCCTGATCATGCTGATGATGAGCATTGGAGGCCGGAATGGCCGGAGCTCATGAGCTGGAGTTACTCTAGACCCGTGGCATTAAATACAATGCCACGTGCCTCCCTCTGGTAAATACTATTGTCGAGCGCAATTTCAGTCCCTCGCGCAAGTTTAAACTTGCGCACGCAAATTTAAGATAGTGGATATTTTGCCGGAGGTAATGACGGCAAACTAACGATTACTAAAGGTTTGCCGGCGGCAATCCATATCAACAGAGGGCGCTGTACTCTTTAAAATAGGGCTGAATTATAAAATGTATTAAATTCCCACCAAAAGTTGTGTAGCACGTTTGGTGTAATGGTTAAGCAAAAGCTCTAGTTAGCGGGATGACTCGCGTTCGATTCCGACCGCACCACATTTTTAAGTTTTTTTTTCTCATCCCCAAATAAATAAGAATATTCTTCTTTTATTATTTTAACATGTCTCAAACATTTTTTGCAGAGTATTACATTTTCTTTTTCAGATTTGTGGCTCTGGAGGATTTTTTTTAAAGGGAAATAAAGTCCGAAATTATAAAATGGTCTGAATCCCATCTTGTGAATACGAGGTAACAACGATAATTTTGGCATGGAGCCAAACTAAAACTTGTCACCGGAAAATGTTGAAGTACAAAAAAACAGTAACTGCGCATGTTCAGTGCATATCCGGCAAACTAACGTTTACTAAAGGTTTGCCGTCTCCGGCAAAATATACACTGCCCAAATTTAAACTTGGGCGAGGGACTCCCGAAGCACGCAAATTACACCGCGCCATTTTAATTTGCGTGCGCACGTTACAACTTGCGCAAAGGCGATCGCAATTTGAGAACCTTGCGGGCGGGATTTTCATTGATGAAGAAAAACAAATGTTCGAAACACAAGTACATGGAGAAATAGATTAAAAAATAATGGAATAAATTAATGAACAAAGAAATAAATAAAAAGTGGAATTCAATTAGCGTCAATGAAAAGAAACACCGAGATTTAGCAGTGCTTATCAGAGACGTTTTTTAGGGGGCGGGGGCGGGAAGGGGACCAGGCAAGCAATCAATAAGCACAGTGATTGCTTGGAGAGTACTGAAAATGGTTCGAAAATGGAGACAAGCTTCAAGGTTTTTTGCCTTGCAAATGTAAAACTAATTAGTGTTTTATTTATATTCTTAAATGTAAATAAATCATAATTTCCTAGGGGTAACCCGTTGTTAACGTAAAAGATTGATTATCATCCCTTCAATTGTTCAAGATTTTTGACGGTACAATACATTTTGTTTTTAAAAATACTTTGCATAACATTTCGAGCGCTGTATACACTTCAAAAATGCATAATTTGAAAAAAAAATTAATGAACTCATTACTAATTTAATTAATTAATTCAATTTATTACTTTAAACAATTATAAATTCGACTTGCAGGCTCAATAATTCATATTAATGTTTACGTGCTTTAACTTAAAAATGCTATGCATATAAAATGGTAATTATTTTAAAAAGTAAATAAATTTATTAATGATTTAATTTATTAATTTAATTTATTAATTTAATTAATTAATTCGAATTAATGAATAAATATGTTGTTTATTTATCAAAAATCCTAATGAGCCATAAACAATAATACACATTAAAAGTGCATAAATTGTTCGCATTACCACCCCTTATCTCTGAACCCACACAGTCAACCTCATTAGCATAATACTGTAAATAAAATGTTTCAAAAAAGGCATTAAAGGGACACTAGGTCCTGGAACAGCCCAATTGGGCTACAAAACGCGCTTTGAACGAGATGATGATAATCGGAAATAACTTTTAAAAGTAGGATATAAACATCAACCTGGGCTAGAGAACTCCAGCTGAGTGACATGCTCATCAGGTTACATGTGAATTCCTGATGAGCATGTCAGTTGGAGTTACTCAAGCATAGAACAAGGGCTCTATGCTAAAAGCTTGTTTAAATTGCCTCAAACCAGTCCCGTTTATTTTTTTACATGGCCTTATCCTCCTATGCGAGTTCGAGACCTGTGCCTGACATTTTTTTTAAAAATGAAGTATTCCAAAACGTTCAAGGTTTCTTCCTCATACCAGAAATTGCTTGAGAAATCAGAGCATTGGCTTTCCAATGAGACGCAATGTGCACAGATAAAAGCGTATAGTTGATGTCAGTAACGCTTACGATTTAAGGTAACCTTGATAATTTAAAAAGTATCTTCCCTTTCATTTTGCATGAAACGTAGACTTTGGCTACAGCTGTGGTGCAGGTGTTTTTGGCCCAACCTCCCAACTCCTGGACCAAAAGATGCTGTGGTGTGGCATGCTTTGTCAAGGACAACGACCTACGCTCATACTTCATCAGAGTCTACGATATTATGGTAAGGAGTAGACCTAAGACCTAATTACATAATAGCTTTGTTAACATTATGCGCTTTCCTATGGGAGCAAAGTCGGGACGCCGGACGAAGTAGGGACCGTCTACCACATAGGAAAGCGCACATGTAAACAAAGCGTGACATCATTAGGTCTCAGGCCTATACCCTACATGTAGTCCACTTGGTTATTTCTTTCTTTTTGTTTGTTAAAGAAGAAGCAGCAAAAGATAACTGGTCTTTGGGGGTCATGAAAAGTAACTATTACTTAGTGTAAACATGTGCAAAGCAAATTTACTTAAAACTAGCTGGACTGATCGAAGAAATAAGGACTTGACCTGAGTTAGACTCCAGGAAATGAATTAGTTACTCTACGTCCCCATACACATCATTTTGTACCAACAAGTTGATGTTTTTTCTTCCAACTGTTTCCTCTTGGGAAGGGGGGGGGGTAAAAGACACAATTGAACATGCACATGAGCTGCAAATCTTTCCGAATGTCTTTGACATGTTCTTTCACTTACTAAGAATTTAATTGTTGATCCCATTCATAATTTCTTTTATATAGAACGGAATGCAGCTTTGGGAACAAGAACTGTACAGCCAGTTCATTTACTTTGTCACCAAAGGCAAACCTTTCTTCCACACTTTCCCAATTGATGTGAGTATATTAACCCTAACCACCCTGAAACCATCTAAATCCACACGCCTGTTTTGGAGTATTTCGGCGGATTCAGGATACCTCCATATTGAAAACAGGTGGATTTTGATGGATTCAGGACAGTAAGCCTAGGGGTACTGCAGGATTTTGATGGATTCAGGATACCTCCATACTGAGCAGTCACCAACACCAACATTTGTGTGCATGACACAATACATGCAGGCGGCTGCGGTGATGGTTCATTTTTCAGACTGGGACCTTGGGTGCAGAAAAACATACACTCTGTAGCTGACAAAATTCTCCAAAATTTTCATGAGGCAAATTAAGACAACCATCAACCATCAACATTTTGCACCTGACAGTGAAGCCAAGTGATTTCAATTTGAAGCCTAAG